CCTCTGCGCGCGGACAGCACCCGGGACGTTCACAGCAGGTGGAGCCGTGCGGACTGGAGACGTCCCCGCCCTGTTCTGGGCACTGGCTTCACTGATGTACCTGCTGTGGCACGCGCGTTAGGGCGATCCTAAGTTGCAGTGACGTGCGTGGCCTTGTAGTCTGACTTTGGATTCTACCTGCATTCCTTAACTTCCCTTAGTATTAAATTTCATTCTTTTAGATGCAGTCTCGATTGACCTTGTCAGAGTCCAGGCTCCCGAACTAGTTTGAGATCTGGGACTCAGCAGCACCCAGCACGCTGCCGTCCCTCCCGTTCTTTGGCGCCTTTGACGGGCCAGTGCATCCTCTGTATTCACACCCGTGCCCTCCATGGGAGCCCCAGGACCCACCACTGCGACCCCTCTGGGAGGACCCCGTCACACACCTGCTGGCTTCCTGATGCAGAGGATATGGCCGAGGGCCCTTTCTCCCCTGGGTGCCTGCAAAGGAGGACCTTGGAGGCTCTGGGGCCGCCGGCTCAGTGTCCAGGGTTGACCGTGAAGGGCTTCCATTGCAGGCCCCGAGGCCGCCTTCCCGGCACTCACAGTGCTCTCTGTTGTGGGCGTGAGTTCCATCCTCACCTTTGACCGCTCTAAGATAACCATTTAGACAGCTCTGCAGTCTGACAGCAGCAGCCGTTATTTGAAGGTTTTCACGCTGCGTTGGTTTCCACGTTCGTTATTCATTTCTGCTCATGAGCGGCTTCTGCCTGGGCCCTGCCAGCCCCACCTCACTGCTGCTGTCTGAGGGTGGACAGAGGGCAGCTCCAGGGACGGCCAGGACATGGGCCAGCCTGCTGAGGCCCACACATCTCTGCAAGGTTTTAAATTAAATGCATGTACCTTATTTTAAAGGATGGAAATGTAAAGTGCAAGAGATAAAGGGAAAAGAAGTAAATGCTACACAGGCACACAGAAAGCCCTGGGGTCCCTGCAGGGCTCAGGCCCAGGTCCTCCGGCACCTACAGGGACCACCCAAACCCTGGAACACTGTCCTCTGCTTACAGTCACCATGGAGTTTCTGCTGCACATGTGCAAGCCTGGTCTTCCCTGGGAGTTCCCAGCCATAGAAGCAGAGGGGACGCAGCCCCCTGGTGTCAGAGCCAGGCAGGGCAGGCCTGGCCCCACCTCACTGTGTGTGCGCACAGCCCTGTCGTCCTGGCCCTGGGGTGGAGCGTAGGTGTGGGATTACAGGCACAGGTATGGGGCCGAAAGTCACAGCACTCCTCCAGCGGCCTGGACGACGAGACCCCCTGTGGGGCTGTGAGGGCGGGGTGGAGCCCAAGGCACATAAAGCTGGCACACAACTTCAGCTCAACAAACATGTTATTCAAACTCAGAAGGGGGAAGAAAACCAAGAATACTGATTCCCACGCGCTGAAGGTTTTTGGAATTCTCCCCACCCTGCTCTGAGCTGGATTCAGAAGCCAGCTTTCGGGATACACCTTGTGGTCCACCAGTCCTGAGCGCCACAGTGGTGCAAGGTGCAAGGTGCATTCTGCAGAATCAGAGCCCTGAGGCAGCGGCAGCAGCCTCCAGTGGCCCCCAGCAGCCACCCAGTCTTCCACAGCTTTTCCCACAGGGGTTTTGTGACATGATCTTGATCTCCCTGTTCCTGAAGCCCATTCTGTGAATTCCTCTGCTCACCGTAATTCACTGGGACCCCCACGTCAGCACACCCTGTGCTTTGCAGCCATTCATGGCCATACATGGGGCATTGTGAGTCTCGTGTTATACCTGGGCCCCCACTCAGCCTCTGGTCCCGGCCCTCCTGGAGGTGCCGAGAGGACAGAGAGGAGGGCAGCGCAGGGGCTGTGGCTATGGGGCCAGTCAGATGGGTTTGAACTCAACTCTGGGACCTGCTGGTGGGGCAGTGCCACTTACTGTTTCTCTTTTGAAAAGCAAAAGCAAATAGAATCTACCAGGGTGAGTTGTTGGGACTTAAGATTCGGATCAGTGTGATGCGTATGTGGGTACACACACGTGTCCCATGTGAGTTGGTCTCCAACTCGCCTCAGTGTTCACTTTCTGGAACATTACTACCTGGAGTCATGAGAATGGACTGTATTTTCTTTCTGGCCATCCAGGAAAAAAACATAAGCTCTAAAAATCATCCTATGATTTTATCCTTCCACTTTCTGAAGCAAATTCATTAGCCCTTCATCGGCCTGAAAAGTGACATGACTTAGTATTTTCAGTAACTCTATAGCTGAGAAAATAACTTTCCGCGCTGTAAAGAATTAAACAAGAGCCAATTATTGTGTCTGTCTTCACTGCTCAGGGGCGACAGCAATACCTGTCCTTATTAATTTCTACCATCGACGCGTGTTTAATCCGTACGTCATCTTGCTGTTATCTGTGTTCCTCACAGAGTAAAAGCCGCCACCAGTCTGTGCGAATCGGAACCGCGTGGAGAACCCAATTACTCAGCAGGTACTTAGAACATTTCTTACCTGATCTTTTCCACGTGGGTAAAATGTGTTTCTGCCCCTTGGAGAGCTTCCCTGCCCAGCGGAGATGTCGGCGTTTTCCACAGAGAAGCCATTTCGCAGAGATTCGGAGTCTGCCCTGCCGTGGACCAGTGCTATTCCTGGGCTCTGGTCTGTGCGTTTCTGAGGAGCCGACGGGTCCTGCCTTGCTGAGAACAAGCAGCCGTCTTCCAGGAGCTCCTCAGCTCGCACCGTGACGGCTTCCTCCCCCTCTAAACCCCAACAGGAAGGAGCAGCAGAGAAAGCGGCGTTTTGGTGCTCAGGGAACAGACTGACGCTGGCCGATGGGCACAGGTTCCCACCAGGGCTCCGTGCCTGTGCCTCCGGGGCAGCCCCAACCTTGTCCTCGACCCCAAGGGGTGCTCAGGGTAAGTGGCGCCAGGCAGCCTCCCCCAGCCCTGGCAGCTCCCTAAGTCACCGTGGAAGCCAAAGAGCAGGTGGAGGAGTGATTAAGAAGAAAAAAAAAAAGACGGTGGTGGCCTTGACCACCACGCGAGCCACAGCTAACCTTGCTCTCTGTGGAGCTGCCCACGAAGCTTCCTGGGCTGGAAGTCACGTGTATCGCTGAGGACTGACCCCGGGCAGCAGTGGCCCAGGGATGATGGGACCGAGGATGCCCAGTGGGCTCTGGGACCCACACTCACCTGTCGCCTGGACCCCGGGTCACCCGACTCCATCCTGAGCTTGCCTTTGCTCAGAGCCCTCTCTCCTCCCTCTCCCTCCCCAGGGCCTGCCTACCGCCCAGGTGGGCCTCCTCCCCTTTCCTGACCAGCCCAGCTGTGCACCACGGGTCTCTCCCCACCCTCCAGGTCACCATCTCACAGTCATGCAGTGCCAGTCCCAAGGCATGTGGTGTCCTGTTGGTCAGTAACAGAGCCTGGCCACAGAAACTGCTGGACATGGTGTTTTCTGCTGTGCAGTTCCATGGGACCATTTGCACCGCCCCTCCCCACCCCTAGCGCTAGTGACTGGTGTGGCTGACACTGGACAGCTGGCATAGGCCTCACAGAGACACCTCCCTGAAGCCTGCACCCTCACCCCACCCTGGGCCCTCCTCACTCACCCCCGGCACACAGTGGGGGTGGGGGTGCTGGCACGGCCTCCTGGGCTGCTGGGTGGGTTAGAAGGGACAGTGCAGTGTGGGGTCGGTGTAGCAGCCCCCGCAGATTCAGCATCATCCTAATTTAGTAACCTCCCTTAGAGACCCCCACCCAAGGCAACCAGACCTGGTGTCTTCAGCTCTGTCGAATGGGCCCCATCTTTTCTCTGCAGGGACAGGGAGGAGGAGCAGCACAAGATGCTGAGCAGGGCCTCCGGAGTGACAGGGCACAGGGAGACTCCAGGACCCACGAAGCCCCTGCCCTGGACAGCGGGAAGGCACGGTGAGGATGGTGCCAGGCCGAGGCTGCAGCCCAGCAAGAGTGACCCACCCTGCCTGCGCCCCACGCCCCGCGGCTCCTGCCTGCCCTACTCGTGTGTCCAGGGCACTTTCAGGAACTCGCCCATCTCTCACCCGCCGAGCCCATCCCCCAGTGCCTACTCCAGCCGGACCAGCAGACCTGTGCGGAATGTCGGTGAGGACCAGGTGCACCCTCCCCTCTGCCACTTTCCCCAGGGGAGCCTGCAGCACCGGCTCCCTCAGCCTGGAGCTCAGCGTTTTGCCACGAGGGGCTATCCCATGGAGGACGTGAAGCTGCAGGGTGTGCCGATGCCTCCGGGGGACCTGTGCGGTCCGACGCTGCTGCTAGATGTGCCCATCAAGATGGAGAAGGACTCTGGGTCTGAGGATGCTGCAGACGGCTGTGTGCCCAGCCAGGTGTGGCTGGGGGCCAGTGACAGGAGCCATCCAGCCACCTTCCCTACCAGGATGCACCTGAAAACAGAGCCAGACTCTCGGCAACAGGTGTACATCTCGCACCTGGGGCACGGCGTGCGGGGGACTCAGCCTCATGGCAGGGCCACTGTTGGGCGCAGCAGGGAGCTGACCCCTTTCCACCCTGCACACTGTGCCTGCCTGGAGCCCATGCACGGCCTTGCCCAGCCAGAGCCTCCCCACCAGCTCTGTGCACGGGGCCAAGGCGAACAGTCCTGCGCCTGCAGAGCTGCTGAGGCCACCCCTGTGGTCAAGCGGGAGCCCCTGGACTCACCCCCGTGGGCTACTCACAGCCAGGGAGCGGTGCCTGGGATGTTTCCCAAAAGTGCCTTGGCAACGCTGGTCCTGCCCCAAGCTTCGGAGTGCACGTTCCTCCCGTAGCACAGTGACCACCGCCCAGGCCCAGATCCGTCCGTCTACGCTCAGATGCGTCAGTGGCTGGGCTGCCCTGCGCCTGGTCAGGCCAGAGCCCATCCTAAGACGCGCTTTGCAGAGCTGTGCATGCGCACTCTGCTAGTCTGTGTGTGCAGGATTTGCAGTAGCGTATCCTGAGTTTTGTAAAATATCCCAATAGTTCTTAAATGCAAACTGGCCATAAATCTGTTCAAGCATGACAGTATTTCTCTTTGAGGAATTAAAATCTTTAGGAAAGTGATCACGGCTGGACAACATCATCCCGTCCCACGGCCGCCAAGTCCACAGTCGGGATGAAGCGGTTGGGTGACCTACCTAGCTCAGCCCTCCCAGGCCACCTGTAGCTCCCGGCCTGTGCTGTGCAGGCAGAGTCAGCCCATCGCCACAGTGTGCTGCAGAGGCCAGCACACTGCAAGTTAGAAATACAACTCGTGGAGAAAGGATCTGTGAGCCCACTCATGGAGGAATCTAGAAAGTTCCAGGCAGCAGAGGCTGGCAGCGTGCGTCCCACACTGTGTGGCACCATGACAGAGTGTGAGGCCAGACCTGGACTGGAAATTGACAGGATAGCCCCTGTTCCTTCTGGACATCTCCCGAGTTCTCAGTGGGTCTCTGCAGACGGTTCTTACTAATCCGCCTCTTGGTGCATCACGTAATGCAGAGTTCACAGACTCCGGGTTTGGAAGTACAGAGAAACACAACGTAGAGAGAAGACACAGGAAACTGTGCTGTCTGTGGGGTTTCTCTCTGGCTGGCTGCCTCTACGGTTCACTCAAATGAGGGTTCCCATTGCCATCCTAGGAGAATAATTAGGGACAAGACGGACAAGTATTAACAGCATTAAAACAGTGGTAAAGGCGATATATTCTGAGAGGAGGAAATTTGGATACAAAAGCGTAAGTCAGAAAGTGAAGGTCACCAACCCGGGTAACTTACAGCTGCTGGTACAGTTCAGGCTTCCTCCGTGGTGTGGCCTGGAACCCCACCCGGCTGGTGCAGGCATCGGATCAGGGTGTAGCAGTCACCGCCGGGCAGTGAGGCCCACCTGTGTGGGGGCGGGAAGGCCCCTCTCCTCAGGGACAGGGCATCAGTGCCCTGACGTCAGCTCCACTGGGAGTGGCAGGAGCCACGGGAGCCGGTGGATGAGGGACCCACTACCCCGTCGCACTGTGCATTCTGCCTCCCGTGTGGACCCTGCTATGTTGTCGGCGGCTTTGGGGGATCTGTGCTTACTTAGCCCCTGGTTTAATGCTGAAGCCATTTGATAAATGCACCTTCAGTTTGTCAAAACCCAGGTTTGGTTGGCAGGACTGGGTCTTCTGCCCAACGCCAAGTGCCTGCACCTCTCAGTGGCCTGGTTCTTGGACAGTTTGCCCCCATGTGGCAGGGATAGGGATAAGGATCTCCTCTCAGAACTGAAAGAGAACAGCCAACCACCTGAGCCCAGAGTCCCAGATCCACGGTGGCCTCCTGTGACCCCCAAGCCCTGCCGAGGGGACACTCACTGACTGCTTAGCCAGGGGGCGCCTTTCAAAGCTGCCCTCCGTGCTGTGCTGTCGTGGGTGTGAGACGTGCTCATGGCTTTCCACCACCGTCTCTCCCTTACCTGATGCCTAACTCATGATGGGACAGAGCTACCCAGGGGCCAGCCATGGGTGACCAGCCACTTAAGGGTCAGTCACCTGTGGAGAGCAGGCACCTGTGAGGACCAGGCACCTGAGGACTGGCCCCTACTTCCCACTTTGGCCCTACGCTAGCACAGAGCCCCTCTTTATTCATTTCTCATGCTGAGCATCGCACACCTCTGGCCTCGGGGCGTTTATGGATTTAAGACCAGGATGGTATTTCAGAAGTTTCCCACTTCCTATTCTAACCAAGTGCCCAGCTCCTTTGCTGATTATGGAAACACCCTTAATAATGAGACCTGCAGGCCAGGCGCAGTGGCTCATGCCTGTAATCCCAGCGCTTTGGGAGGTCAAGGTGGGAGGATTGCTTAAGCCCAGGAGTTCAAGACCAGCCCAGGCAACATAGCAAGAACATGTCTCTACAAAAAAATTAAAAATCAGATCTGCTGTATCCCTGAAAAAGTCTCAATCAACATGCATGTTCCACTCTTGGAGTTCCCTGTCCTGAGGGCCAGCCACGTCCTGTGTCCTGGAACTCAGCCCTCAGCAGCTCCCTTCAGCCTGGGCGCTGCCTGGGTCCCAAACGTGGCAGCTGTTCTTCCAGTCTCAGGGCCGAGGAGGGCAGGGAGCTCAGTGACTGAGAGTCTTGTGTATCACAGGTCTTGAGTGTCCTGGAGCCAACGGCTGTCACTGGGAAAAACACCAGGCCCCAAAGATCGAATCAGAGATGTGGCTGTGTGTTTGCAGATTATAGCCGGGCCCTTCAGTGCCATCAAAGGAGCACCGGGGCCTCCTTAAGCACAGACGGCAGCCCCTGCCCAGGAGGCTCCTTCACCACGTCCTGCCCTGCAGCCTCCCAGACCTTTAGACACGCCCCCACCCAAGGCCCTCCTGGTGCCAGGTGCCAGATTGAATGGTGGGTTGCTGCCGGGCAGGCCATGCCGTGCTGGTGCTGCACTCAGCACATGGGTGTTGGCTCTGCCGGTTTTGTGGTGTGGGGACCCCACATGCTGCTGCGGCCCTGAGAGCCTGGGGTCAGCGAGGTGTCCAACATCCCTTCCCTGGTGGCAAGAAAAACTCCCCAAGTCAGCACTTTCGTTATTTCATAGCCACAACCCTCTTGGAAAACAGTGGGGAAGACGATGGAACATAGAAGGTGTGGACGTGTCACTTCTCTCTAAAATGTCATTGTTAGCACTAATTACAGGTTCATGTTTTTCTGTTTATGTAGCTTTTCCCTATATAGCTGAAAAAGTATTAAAGTCAAATATGAAGTGGGAATGGGATGGAAGGAAGATCAATACAACTTACATTTTTGCAGTTTCTACTGGAAGAAAAAAGTTTTCAATACCTAGACCAACTTGTTGAATTTTTAAAACCTATGCACTATAAATGCAACTCCCTACTGCTTTCTCAGTGCCTTTAGGAAGCTTTCAAATATTTTTTGTACTGTGGTTTGTATTAAATTTGCAATATTGATGTAAAGTACATGACATGCTAGTACATGTTTAGCAAAAATTGAAATATCTGTGAATGTCTGTGTGATTTTCCAAATGAAGGCACTTTATTTCCTTTAAAGAGTGTGCTGGTTAATCTGCATTCTAAGACAGCCTTTCACCACTAAATATAAGGCAGCAATAAAAATAAAACTCTAGAGCTGCAAGCCTCGTGAAGGAGGAGAAAATGCCTGCCATTTCCCTGCTCCTGCCCAGCAGCACTGCATCTAGAGAGGGTCTAGGCCCCCCTCCCATGTCACTGAGGGTCAGGGCCCCTCCCGGGTGCTCTCAGGATGCCCCAGACCTGACCCATTCTGTAAGAAGCCAGGAGGGTAGAGCTGAGAGCACTGTGGGTCCGGGGTCATGCAGGGTCCGCCCTGCCTGGCACAGGACCTGCATGACAAGCCCATGGGAAGGGGGAAGGGGGTCACCGGCCCAGGCAGATTGTGGCCAGATCCCCCAATGCCATAAAAAAAATGCTGGGGTCTAATTAAGCACAAATGGCAGTCCAAGGCCCAGGGAGCTGTGCTTTTGTTTCCTTTCAGGCAACTTTAGAGTCTGCGCAGCCCCTGCCAGACCTCTGTCACACCCTGCAGCCCGTCAGCAAACCCGTCCTGGTCACTGGTGTAAGACTCCCATGTCCTCCCCAGGGACCAGGCCAGCCCTCCCATCTGTGGCCCCACACCTTGCCCCACCCCGCCCCCCATACCCTCTGCTCTGTGGCCTCAGGCAGACGGAGTTCCTGCATTTTCACTCCTCACCCCCAGTCTGGCTTCTGCTGAGTACGCCTGTGTGGAGTTAGGACGCATACAATTCCTTTTTTTTTTTTTTTTGAGACGGAGTCTCGCTCTGTTGCCCAGGCTGGAGTGTGGTGCAATCTTGGCTCACTGCAGCCTCCACTTCTCAGGTTTAAGTGATTCTCCCACCTCAGCCTCCAGAGTAGCTGGGACTACAGGCATCCACCACCACGCCCAGCTAATTTTTGTATTTTTAGTAGAGAGTGGGTTTCACCATGTTGGCCAGGCTGGTCTAAAACTCCTGGCCTCACGTGATCAGCCTACCTCGGCCTCGCAAAGTGCTGGAATTACAGATGTGAGCCGCCATGCCTGGCTGGACGCACACAATTTCATCTCACTAGGCGCTGCCCAGCGTCCTCCAGAGGGCTGCACCCACTTGGCCTCCCTTCTACCAGCCACACCTCCTGGGCTCCTATCCTTCCCCCACACTGGGATCTGTATGGAAAGACTTTTTCAGTCTTGGGCTTCTGAAGGGATGAAACGGCAGCTGTTTTATGTACATTTTGTTGATTCATTCATTCAGCATTATTTTTTTAGTCCATGTTGAATATCAGGCCCTGGGCCAGTGCTGGGGATGCATTCAGGAGAAAACGATGCAGACATCAGTGCTGTCCCAGAGCTGACGTCTGCACTTGTGTGGTGTGCGGTGTGTACCCATGTGCAGGGGGAAGGGGGGCAGGTAGCTGAATGTGACCATGAGAACTCTGCGAGGCATGGAGAGGACTGGTGCTTTGCAGGTGCACAGAGCTGCGGTTAGGGGTGGCCAGGTCTTTGGGGCAGTTTTATGTGGGACGTATGGACAGCTGGAGCTGAACGGCGAGTGGAGGCGGCAGCATGGCCGCAGTGAGGTCCGAGTGACAACAAAGCAGGGCCTGGGTGGAGACGCCCTGGTCATGGCTCAGAGGCTTGAGCAGGGCCCCGTGAGCAGGGTGTGGGGACAAGGTCTCCCTGATGAAGGCCGAGGGAGGCAGCTTATTCTCTGGAGCCAATGGCTCTTGTCCTTTACCTGTTTCTTGTTGCACTTGTTTGCCCTTTTAGATTGATTTGCAAGAGTTGTTTTTATTCTGGATAGCAATCTTTTTGTCAGTTACAGATGTTGACAATGTTTTCCCTCAGTCTGTGGCTTGGCTTTTCACTTAAGGATTTAAAAAATACATCCCACAGGAGTTTAAAATTTTAGTATAGCAACTTTTCTATTTTGTTCTTTATGGAATATGCATTTTGCATCTTAGGAAAATAACTATCTTTGACAGTGGCTTTTGACCAAAAAGCCAGGTTGTCTGATATTCATATCACCACACCAGCTTCTCAGGCCTCGCTGACCCACGTGTGAAAAGCCCAGTTCTAATCGTTGTTTCTTGATGCTTTAGATGTTCTCCTATGAATGTTTCAGTTTCTAATCCACTTACTTGTGTTCTCATTACTGATACATTTGAACACAGGGTCCTCCTCATCTTCTTCCTATAGTCTCTGTGGTGTTGCCTGCATTTTCTCTCTTCCTGTTTCTCTTTCTGTAGTAGCTAACCTTAATGTGGGTATTTAACAAGGTCTAAGCAGGAGTTAAGCACGGTCTCTCTTCTCCCCAGCAGGGCCAGGACTGTGGGCGCTTCAGTGCCCCCCCCCCCATCGCCCCTCAAGCTTGCGCCTGTCAAGGCGGAGGATCTCTCTAGCAATGACCCTGGGTTGGCTTCTGCTGAGGGCTGAGTTTAGGAACAGTCTCCAGGCTGTTGTTGTTTTCCTAGTCCACCCTTTCACTGAGGATGCACCCCCTTGCATATCTGTGCTTCACACAGGAGTCTCTGTCCACCTCCTGCCTGCTGGGAGCCTTAGCTTCATCAGCTGTCCTGCTTCAATGTAAAACCCAACCCCTGGGCCGCAGGACTCGCACCCTACCCACCCAGCGGCCTGCTCTAGGATGGCAAGCATCTCTGCTTCTGACGTCCTCTCCCCTTTCCACATTTGTCCCTGGTCACGTCCTTGCCTGTTCGTGAATCCACTTGTGCAATCAACATGATGCTTGTACTCAGCAGTGCCCCTGGGTGTTGGCACAATGTGGTCTGCCGAAAACAGAAGTCAAGAAACATCTTTTTTTTTTTTTTTTTTTTTTTTTTGAGAGTCTCCCTCTGTCGCCCAGGCTGGAGTGCAGTGGTGCCATCTCAGCTTACTGCAACCTCTGCCTCCCAGGTTCAAGCCATTCTCCTGCCTTGGCCTCCCAGGAAGCTGGGACTACAGGCATGCACTACCATGCCTGGCTAATTTCTGTGTTTTATTGGTAGAGATGGGATTTCTACCAAAAAGACCACGTTGTCTAGGCTGGACTCAAACCCCTGGGCTCAAGGGATCTGCCCTTCTCAGCCTCCCAAAGTGCTAGGATTACAGGTGGGAGCCACTGTGCCCAGCCAAGAAAGACTTTTTTTTTTTTTTTTTTTTTTTTGAGATGGAGTATCACACTGTTGCCCAGGCTGGAGTGCAGTGGCACAATCTCGGCTCACTGCAAGCTCTGCCTCCCAGGTTCACGCCATTCTCCTTCCTCAGCCTCCTGAGTAGCTGGGACTATAGGAACCCACCACTATGCCCGGGTAGTTTTTTTCTTGTATTTCTGGTAGAGACGGGGTTTCACCATGTTAGCCAGGATGGTCTGGATCTCCTGACCTCGTGATCCGCCCGCCTCAGCCTCCCAAAGTGCTGGGATTACAGGCGTGAGCCACCGTGCCCCACCAAGAAAGACTTTTAATGTTAAGAAGTTACTAGACAGTCCATCCAAATTCACTACCAGACATTGAATAACAGTATGTCTTTAGTTCATAATACTCAATGTTACTATATTTTGAAGAGTCCTAAAAGCTTTGGTAATTTTGGCCATTTTTTTTCCTTCATTAGTTTCAAAATTAGTCATAATTTCTAACATAATTTTAACTTTTTTTAAAAAAATTTTTTCATTGCTCAACTTGTTGCTAGATTTTCAGAAATTACAAGGAAAAACGGAAATAACAGAGCCGGGGTGTTAGCATCAGCAGGGCACGGGGCAGGGCTCCTTGTGGGAGTGGCAGCGGGGGCTCCCACAGCTCCATCTCCATTCTGTGCGACCCCGCCCTATGCTGCTGCCACTTTCCTTGTCTCTGCTGGCTTCTCTGCCACCTTCCAGACCCTTCCTTTTGTGTGGCCGATTTTCGGGAGGGGCCAGGGGCACAACCTAGCAGCTGCAACCTATGAAGGACTTTCTTGTTAGTTGGTGCATCCTTTATCAAACAGACAAACCCCGAATGCTGGTGGTTTAGCAGGTGCTTTTTCCTCCTGGTGAAGCCAAACGCTGGCCGTGGGCCTCTTTTCCAAGCAGCGACTCAGGACCGGCCCTCTGCAGCAGCGGCCCAGTGACACACATTCATTCTCCAAGACCCGCGCCGCTGGGCCTCTGAGGGGCCCCAGAAACATCCCGTGGCCACCCATCCCAGGGCACTGTTCCCACGTGGGTGCCGATGACTGTGCTCCTGCAGGGGCTGAGTTCGTGTTTGGGTCCAAGGGGTACCCAAAGCCGCTAGTCTGCTGGTGGCAGGCAGACAGACGCTTGATTCCCAACTTTCCCCGCTTTCGTTTCCTCGTTTACTGAATGCTCGGCGCCCACCTCAGTCCGCGGCAAAGGTGGGACGCCCCTGCCACACTGCAGTGCGGACGGCAAGGCCAACATAAAGACATGAGGCGTCAGCAGAGGACGGAGCCACAGCGGCTCTGTGGCTGTCTTCTCTCCGGAGGTCGGGAAGGGAACGGAGAGAAAACGCAGGCAGCCACGCTGGGCGGAGGCTTCCAAGACTGCGCCGGCCCTGGGGAAGGGCGCACGCGGGGGTCGCCGGAGGCAGCGAGAGGGCCTGAGTTGGGGGGGCTGGGACGGGCAAGGAGACCCCCACCCCGGCAGTTACCATGTCCTGCTGGGGAGCGGCCACGGGGCAGGTCGCCGAGCTGAAGTCGCTCGGCCAAGAGACGGGCACCCGCCCCGCCCGGAGGGCCGGACCCATGCTTCCGGCGCCGTTGCCGGAAGCGGAAGTACCCGTTCGCTGTCCACTTCCGGGACTCCGGAGGCGGTGGCTGAGGCTGCGGCGTAGGCTTAGAGGGTGAGTCGGCGGCAGGTCCGGACGGCCCGCGGGTCCCTGGGCGGTGGTCGCCGTGTTTCATCCTTGCTCTCCCTGTCTCTGGCTTCCGCGGGGGCGCGTAGGGGGAGGCCGGACCGGGACCTGGAGGGTAGGGAGGCCGTTCCGGGTCCCGTGGAGTATCCCGCTCGTGCGAGTGTCCTCGGCGCAGGTGTTCCCTCGGCGCAGGTGTCCTACCCGGCACATGTGTCCCCCCAGGCACAAGTGTCCTTCCTGGTGCAGGTTTCTCCTTGACGGTGTCTCCCCCGCACCAGGCGCAGGTGTCCTTCCTGGCGCAGGTGTCCCCCCTTCGGAGCAGGTGTCCCTCCTTGGGGCAGGTGTCCCTCCAGGCACAAGTGTCCTTCCTGGCGCAGGTGTCCTCCAAGGTGCAGGTGTCCCCTCAGGCACAGGTGTCCCCCCAGGCACAAGTATCCTTCCTGGTACAGGTGTCCCCTTGACGGTATCCGCCCCCCCAGGCGCAGTTGTCCTTCCTGGCGCAGGTGTCCCCTCTCGGACCAGGTGTCCCTCCTCGGAGCAGTGTCCCTCCGGGCACAAATGTCTTTCCTGGTGCAGGTGTCCTCCAAGGTGCACGTGTCCCTCCAGCGGAGGTGTCCCCTCCGTGAGGTGCCCCCCAGCACAGGTGTTCCCCTCGACGCAGGCATCCCCCCGGTGACGTGTCCCTCCCGGCGGAGGTGCCCGCCCGGCAGAGGTGTCTCCCTGGTGCAGGTGTCCCCCTGCCGCAGGTGTCCCCCTGGGTGCTGATGTTCCCCTCAGTAGGGTGTCCCCCCCGCTCGGTGGAGAGACTCACAGCAGAGCCAGCGCCAGGGAAAGGCAGTCAGAAAGACCCTGGTAGGGGTTGAACCTGGGTTTCTATTTGTGGCTTCTGAGTTCCTCTTTGGCTTCTTGACCCAAAATCTTTAGTCTTCAGGCTGGGATGAAAACCTCTGCGTTGTGTTTTTTAACTTAAGGTTTTCCCTTTTCCCACATTAGTAGCTTTGTTCTCTCCAAGGTGAGCCTGCTTCTGCTTCCCAGCTCTTCACTCACATCGCCTTGGCTTCCACCCACAGCATGACAGACTTCACTCCAGCCTGGAGATGGGTCCAGTCACCTCACTGTGTGCACCAGCAGAGTGCTGGGTGTCCACTTCTTGGGTTGTTATCCAGCCCTATAATCAAAACCATGCAGACTTTAATGTCAATGGAAATGCTGATGATAATATCCAAACAAAATAAGAAAACAAAAGTGTGCACCTGCGAAGTCATAGAAGCAATGGAACGTTAGCTTTAAAAGAAACTCAAAGGGAAAAAACTGGAAGGAAACAAGCCCTGTTGGAGGGAGTTGCCCAAGTGTCAGGATTTAAGGGGAGTTGCCTGAGTGTTGGGATTTAAGGGGAGTTGCCTGAGTGTCGGGATTTAAGGGGAGTCGCCCTGAGTGTCGGGATTTAAGGGGAGTTGCCCGAGTGTCGGGATTTAAGGGGAGTTGCCCGAGTGTCGGGATTTAAGGGGAGTTGCCCTTGAGTATTGGGATTTAAGGGGAGTCGCCCTTGAGTGTCGGGATTTAAGGGGAGTCGCCCTTGAGTGTTGGGATTTAAGGGGAGTTGCCTGAGTGTCGGGATTGAAGGGGAGTTGCCCTTGAGTGTCGGGATTTAAGGAGAGTTGCCTGAGTGTGGGGATTTAAGGGGAGTTGCCCCTGGGTGTTGGGACTTTGTATTTTTGTCCTGTCCAGATTTTGTACATTGTATGCCTAATTTCGTAATCAGAAAATAAAGAGAAAGGAAAGGTTGCAATGTAGGTCCAGATGAAAAAGGAGAAGAGAGGGGTCTGAAAGCATGTGGGCACGGAGAATGAAAAATTCCAGGAGAAGGCGAATCTTGTTAATATTCATGAAGATGAAAATCGAACAGCTGAAATCAAGGGGAACAGGTGTATCAGATTCCCGCATTGACCAGATGCTCACCAAGCAGCTGTCTTAGCTCCCCGAGGAGGACGATGGTGGAGGGAGCATGGAAGGCAGGCTTGCCTGCCATCTGAGCACCTGTGGTCTGCATCGGACCTGCATAAAGGAGGGAAGCGCAATGTTTTCTATGGCAGTTAAAAAAGGGGGAAATGGGGTTTTGGATACCCAAGACAGTAATGAGTTTTTTTGTTGCTGTTTGTTTGTTTTTTTTGTTTTTTGAGACAGAGTCTTGCTTTGTTGCCCAGGCTGGAGTGCAGTGACGCAATCTCAGCTCACTGCAAGCTCCACCTCCTGGGTTCATACCATTCTCCTGCCTCAGCCTCTTGAGTAGCTGGGACTACAGGCAGGCGCCACCATGCCCGGCTAATTTTTTTTTGTATTTTTAGTAGATACAAGGTTTCGCTGTGTTAGCCAGGATGGTCTCAATCTCCTGACCTGGTGATCTACCCACGTCAGCCTCCCAAAGTGCTGGGATTACAGGCGTGAGCCACCGGGCCCGGCTGACAATAGTAACTTTTATAGGGAATTGTGGGGCTTGTGCTGGGCCTCCAGCTGTGGTACCTGTTTGGGGGAGATGTCTGTGCTGCATTTGTCTTCACTGAGGGTCCTGGTACAGCTGCCCACAGGCCTGGCCAAGGTGCTGGGGGAAGGCTCCCGAAATGAGAAACCAGCCCTATCTTGGGGAGAGATGTGCCTTGGAGACTGACATCTACATGGTGGGTGGTTTGGGACCCACATCTAGAATCTTCCAAATGTCCATGTCTCTCATGCCTATGAAACGCACCTGCTCTCCCCTTAAAGGTTTAACTTCCCCAGGTTTGTGTTACGAAGGTTTGTTTATCTTATCAAGGAGTTCCTCATCCTAGTTCAGCTTTCTTTGAGGTTTCCTGGATTAATGATCTCAGACGCTCTCCTTGTAGCTCCATTGTGATCATCTGATTGTTTGGGGGGAGGTTTTATACCTACCATTTCTAACAACCTAACAACCCCTGCAGTTCACACAGAATACCTCTAGCATGAACACTGTGAGGATTCCACCTGCTTTTTGACCATGAAGGAGACAGACCGGGAGGCCGTTGCGACAGCAGTGCAAAGGGTGGCTGGGATGCTCCAACGCCCGGACCAGCTGGACAAGGTGGAGCAGTATCGCAGGAGAGAAGCACGGAAGAAGGCCTCCGTGGAGGCTAGATTGAAGGTGAGGCCACCTGCTCCACTCCCAGGCAGCACAGAGCCATCTGTCTTGGGCTTCAGGTTCCTGCTTGACATCACCATGCTGATTTTGCTAAACTAGCCTTTGTGGTGATGTGCAAGGAGGCAGAGCTGGACTTTCTTGAGCAGTTAGTTACTTTCAGCAGTGCATTACCAATCAGTAGCTTTGCTTAGAAGACAGTGGGAATGGTGAAAACAGCAAAGGAACAACCTTTTAAACACCCTGAGGCCGGGCACGGTGGCTCATGCCTGTAATACCAGCACTTTGGGAGGCCGAGGTGGGCGGATCACCTGAGGTCAGGAGTTCAAGACCAGCCTGGTCAACATGGTGAAACCCTGTCTCTACGAAAATACAAAAATTAGCCAGGCATGATGGCGGGTGCCTATAATCCCAGCTACTTGGGAGGCTGAGGCAGGAGAATCGCTTGAACCCAGGAGGCACAGGTTGTGGTGAGCCGAGATTGTGTCATTGCACTCCAGCCTGGGCAACAGAGTGAGACTCCGTCTCAAAAAAAAAAAAAAAAAAAAACCAACCCAGAAACAACAACAAAAACAACACCGTGAAAGTGACTATTAAGTTTTTTGTTTTTTTTTTTTGAGACAGAGTCTCGCTCTATCGCCCAGGCTGGAGTGCAGTGGCCGGATCGCAGCTCACTGCAAGACTATTAAGTTTTTAAACAACACCAGAGGAATGAGAATTAGTCTTATTTAAAGCTCTTCTACAGAGCACCACTGGAGGGCATTTTGTTCAGATTGTTTTAACTCACCTTTAACACAGAGTGGATCTGAAGCTCGGGTGCCGATTCTTTCCTGTGGGTCAGCTGTCCTGAGGCCAAGTATGGTCCTGGCTGAACAGCAGGAACCCCCCACCCCAAGCCAGTGAAGTCCTGACCGTTCTCTCTGCCTAGATGAGACCTCTTGGGAAACTAGGGTGCCTGGGGAGAACATGGGTGACATCCTTCTGAGGGTACCATAGCAGGCCACGGCGCAGGGCAGACCCGTGGTGGTGTCCGGTGTCACCAGGTGTGAGGCTAGATGAGGAGTGTCCTGACGTTTTCTCATCAAAGCTTTAAAATGCATCATTTTTCTGTTCCCAGGCAGCAGTGAAACAAAAAGTTACATTGTGAATCAATTAAATCCTTGTTAATTTTATTCTCTTTTCTGGGTATTGACTATTTCCTGCTACTCAGTGGCTCTTTCCTGAACTTGACCCTTCCGGGGAAGATTTGTTCTTCAGGAGGCAGCACATGGCTGTCACTGGCTCTTCTCACCCGTGTGGCGTCTCTCCTCAGGCCGCCATCCAGTCACAGCTGGACGGGGTGCGCACAGGTCTCAGCCAGCTCCACAACGCCCTGAATGACGTCAAAGACATCCAGCAGTCACTGGCGGACGTCAGCAAGGACTGGAGGCAGAGCATCAACACCATCGAGAGCCTCAAGGATGTCAAAGATGCCGTGGTGCAGCACAGCCAGCTCGCCGCAGCCGTGGAGAACCTCAAGAACATCTTCTCAGGTACCAGGCAGATGCTCGAGGCACTTGCCATGCTCACACCTGTCTCTGCATGACTCACTGAGTGCTCTGTGTGCAGTGTGCTTTGCAGCCCGCACTGTAGACCTGTAGACGGTAAGCGTGACTCTTGTCTGCTCAGCGTCTTTTTTTGAACGTGGATGGAAGTGATGAGCTGAGCACGTAAAGGCTAGAGGAAGGCTTGTAGTTCAGTGTCAGGACAGAGGCCCAGCAAACGCAGTGTAGAGGGAGTCCCTGGCTGAGTGTCGTTGCCTTGCCTGCGATGTGGCTGTTAGACTCTGTGAGTGCAGAAGAGTGAAGGTGCCGCGGCCCATGCTTAAAAGGAGCTGTGGGAGAAGCCGCCCTGCACATGGGACAGAGCAAGCAGATTCCAGAGCAGAAGGGATGAGGCGAGCAGCAGCTCCCAGGCGGCAGGAGAAGCATGTGTGCCCAGGCCAGGGCAGAGCTGGGGCTCAGTGCCGTGGGGGTGTGACCCTTTCAGTCTTCTCCCTGAACGCCTCAGAAGGATGCCAAGGGCCCAGTAACCTGTCCCTGAAAGGTGCCAGCTGGCCCTGGGTGGTGGCTCCCAGCATTTGTGTTCACAGTCTCTTCCCACTTGCTGTGACGGGAGCTGCTTCCACGTCCTCGCCTTGGTCCCCACTCTGTGTCAAGGTCAGCAGCATCCTTCAAGTCCCCAACCTCAGAAGCCTTGGCAAGGTCTGATTCTTTCCCTTTCTTTGTTCCTATCTGGCCTCTTGGCAAGTTCTTCCTGTTCCTCTACCCAACGTCTCTGCCCTGATGTCTGCATGACACTTCCCCGCCCGCAGCCGTCACGGGCCCCAGCTTGCCCTCCACACTGGCTGTGCTGCATCATCTGATGCTCGTCAGCTCCCGAGGCCACGTGTGAATTGGCACGGTTCTCCCTAGCTGCCCACAGCACACCTTGGTAACCTGTGTCCTGTCCACCCCGTCCCCTCCGCCCTCCTCTTATGCTTGTGGCTGCAGCATTGCTGAGCACCTTGTCCCGTTGCTTTGTGTGTGCCCTTCTTCCAGGGCGTGATCCGCAGGGTGACATGTTTGGCTGTGGTCTGCATCTCTTTGTGCATGCCCAACACAAATGCCACAGTGATGCCAACTCAGAAAGCAGCTCTTCTTGGTGACTGTGGACCGCCTGGAACTGGAACAGAGTCCCTCGACGGAGTCTCCTTGGTGATGCTCAGCTGGCACCTTTCTAGTTCATTTCCTCTTATTTCGTATTGGCTGGCTACATTTCCTTCTGGTCTTTTAAACTAATGCCTAATGACCAAAAGGTGCATTACTGGAATTAGTTTTTTTTTGTTTTGTTTTGTTTTCGTTTTTTGTTTTTTTTTTTGAGACGGATTCTTGCTCTGTCGCCCAGGCTGGAGTGCAGTGGCCGGATCTCAGCTCACTGCAAGCTCTACCTCCCGGGTTTACGCCATTCTCCTGCCTCAGCCTCCCGAGTAGCTGGGACTACAGGTGCTCGCCACCTCGCCCGGCTAGTTTTTGTATTTTTTAGTAGAGACGGGGTTTCACCATGTTAGCCAGGATGGTCTCGATCTCCTGACCTTGTGATCCCCCCGTCTCGGCCTCCCAAAATGCTGGGATTACAGGCCTGAGCCACCGCGCCCGGCCTGGAATTAGTTTATCTACAGCAGTTGGAAATAATTTCCTTTGCTTGGTGAACAAATGAGCCTACGTGGTATGCATGTTTTTTGTTACGGATACATTTTCATTGAGAAGATGTGCTTTGGGTCCCTTCAGACTTGTCTCATTGCCTATAATTCAGTAATGCAGTGTACACAGCTCCCCTCCTGCATTCTTTCTTGTGCTAAAATGTACATACACAGTTTGCCATCTTCACCATTTTTAAGTGTACAGTTGGGGACTATTAAGAACGTTCACATTGTTGTGCGACCATTGCCACCTCCATCTTCAGAATTCTTCATCTTGCAGACGTGAACATCTGCACCTATTAAACACTGACTTGGCACCCTCTGCCCAGCTCCTTTTCCCCAACGTTCTGCCTTCTGTCTCTCTGAACTAGATGACTCTGAAAACCTCATAGAAGTGGCATCACATATTATCTGTCTTTCTGTGACATGCTTATTTCACTCAGCATGATGTCCTCAGGGTTCTTCCATGCTGTAGTATTGCAGAATTTCCTTCACTTTTAAGGCTGAATAATATTCCGTTGTATGTATGGACCGCATTTTGCTTCTCCGTTTGTCTGTTGGTGGACACTCGAATTGCTTCCACATTTTAGCCATTGTGAGTAATGCTGTAGTGAACGTGGGTGTACAGATATTTTACTTTTATTTATTTCTGGTATGTACACACAAGTGTAACTGCTGGACCGTGTGGTCATTTATGTTTAAATCTTTGAGCAGCTGCCAGACTGTTTCCTCCAGGGGCTGCAGCATTTCAGTTTTCCACCAGGAATGTGCGAGTTTTCTGATTCGTCTGCATTTTCATTCTTCTCTAAGTTTTTAAAAATGTCCCTTATGGTTGGGCGCAGTGGCTCATGCCTGTAATCCCAGCACTTTGGAAGGCTGAGGCGGGCAGATCACCTGAGGTTAGGAGTTCGAGACCAGCCTGGCCAACATGGTGAAACCCCATCTCTACTAAAAATGTAAAAATTAGCCGGGCATGGTGGCGGCAGGTGCCTGTAGTCCCAGCTACTCGGGAGGCTGAGGCAGGAGAATCGCTTGAACCCAGGAGGCAGAGGACACAGTGAACCGAGGTCATGCCATTGCACTCCAGCCTGGGGGACAAGAGCGAGACTTTGTCTCAAAAAAAAAAGTCTCTTATGTTTCCTTTTTTGCCTCATTAATTGTTTAAGAATATGTTGTTTAATTTCCATAAATTGGTGAATTTTACAGTTTTCCTTCTGATACTGATTTCTAACGTCATCTGCTGAGTTTGGAGAAGGTACTTTGTATGATATTTATCTTTTAAAAACCTGAGTCTTAATTTGAAGCCTAATCCATGGTCTGTCCTGAAGACTGTCACATGTGCATGTGAGAATAGTGTGTGTTCTGTTGTTGGGTGTTCTTTCTGTGTCTGTTCAGTCTGGTTGGCTTGTTGCATTGTTCAAGTCCTCTCTTTCCTTGTTTAGCTTCTGTCTACTTGTTCTGTCCATTATTGAGAGGGAGATATTGAAGCCTCTTTTAGCTTCTGTCTGCTTGTTCTGTCCGTTATTGAGAGAGAGTTATTGAAGCCTCCAACTGTTACAGAAATGAATGTTTCTCCCTTCAGTTCTATCCATTTTTGCTTCATGTATTTTGATGGTCCGTTAGTAAATGCAGAAATATTTGTAATTGTTACATCTTCTTGTTGAATCTTCTATTAATACATTATGGCCTTCTTTGTGACTAGTTTTTTTTTTTTTAAGTCTATTTCATATTTATTAGTATAACCACTCCTTTTCTCTTTTGGTTATTATTTACGTGGAATATCTTTTTCCATCCTTTTACTTTCAACCTATTTGTGTCTTGGGCTCTAAGATTAGTCTCTGGTGAACACGTAGAGTTGAATCATGTTTTATTTTTTAAATCTGTTTTGTCCACCTCTTCTGATTGAAGAGTTTAATTAATTTTGCCTACCTCTTTTGATCGAAGAGCTTACATTTAAGTGATTACTGATAAGAAGGGACTTCTGTCATTTTACTGTTTGTTTTTTATATGCCATATAACATTTTTGTCTCTTATTTCTGCATTTCTTTTTATTTGTGCTTTTGATTATTTTGGTAGTAAACATTTTAATTCCCTTCTTGTTTCTTTTGTGTATATTCTATAGCTATTTTCTTTGTGCCTACCATAAAGATTACACTTAACATCTAACATTATCTCACTTTAGTTTGAATTTATATCAACGTAACTTCAGTAACACACAAAAATTGTCCCTATGTGGCTTCATCTCTACTAGCTTTGGGTTGTTCATTTCACAGAATTACATCTTTATACATTGTGTGTCCAAAAACATAGACTAATAATTGTTTTTTAATGCATTCATTTTAAAAAATTAGGTAGAAAAACAATGTGGAGTTAGAATCCAAAGTTACAGTGTTACTACCTTTTAGACTATTTTTTAATGTATTAGTTTCTTTTTTATTTGCCCCTTTCAACCAGAAAAATATTAGTCTCTTAAGTCATGCAGAAAACAAAGTGATGAGTTAAAAACTGAAGTGTTAATAATACTAGATTTTATGATTGTCCATGAATTTACCTTTTTTGAGACCTTTACTTCTTCACATGGCTTCCAGTTTCTCCCTAGCATTCTTTCTTTTCAACCAGTGGGACTCCATTTAAGCATTTCTTGCAGGACAGATCTTGTGGTAACAAGCTTTTCAACTTTTATTTGGGGATGTCTTAATATCACTGTCACTTTTGAATGACAGTTTTGCTAGATTTAAGGTTCTTGGTTGACAGTATTTTTCTTTTAGCGCTTCGAATATGTCATCCCACTGCCTCTGGCCTCCAAAGTTTCTGGTGAGAAATCTGATCTACTCATAATCTTATTTAGGAGCCCTTGTTTCTGACAAGTTGCTGCTCTCAAAATCTTTCAAAAGTTTGATTAAGTTGTATCTTAGTGTGGACCTCTGAGTTCCTCTTGCTTGGAGGGCATTGAGCTTCTTGGATCTTCATATTCATGTCTTTCATCAAATGTGGGGAGTTTTCAGCTATTATTTCTTCAAATAATGTATTGCCCATTTCTCTCTTCTCCTTCTAAAAGTCCCACTAAGCATATGTTGGCCTGCTTGATGGTGTCCACAAGGTCGCTGAGGCTCTGTTCACTTTTCTTCAATCTTTTTTCTTTCTGTCCCTGATACTTGATATTTCCCATTGTCCTGTCTTCACTTTCACTGATTCTTTCTTGCACCTGCACAGATCTGCCTTTGAATCCTTTCAGTGAATTTTTCATTTATTGTACTTTTCAGCTTCATATTTTCTTTTTTGTTTCCTTTTGGATTTTGTCTCATTATTGGTATTTACATTTTGCTCATACATGTTTCTTTCTTCACATCTTTTAGTTCCGTATACATCTTTAAATAGTTGTTTTAGAGTCTTTGTCTAGTAGATCTGCCATCAGATCTTTTACAGGGACAGTTTCTTATGTTTTCCTTTGAATGGGCCATACTTTCTTCTTTCTTTGTGTGCCTTGTGATGTTTTTGTTGTTGAAAAATGGACACTTGAATCAAATAATGTGATAACTCTGGAAATCAGATTCTTTCCCCTTCCCAGGTTGATGATTCTTGTCTTTGGTTGTTGTAGGCTTTCTGTGCCAAGGCGCAGCCTGAAATGTGCACTTCAAGGTCATCTCAAGTCTTTTCTGAGCCTGTGCCTTTGCCTGGGCATGCATTGGCCACTTCTGAATTTTTCCTGTAAATGCAGTTACTTTTGAATGTCTTTATTTATATATAAATATCTGGCTTTCAAAAAGGGGGACAGATGAAAGAGGTGGTGAAGACATTGGCCCTTTAAAATTCCCTGGAGGTGTGCGGGGGCGAGGAGGGGCCTGTGAACAGGGGAAGATGCAACAGTGGCTGCTCACCTCTTCGCACCTCTGTGGTCAGAAGCAGCAGTCAGTGATCAGAGTACAGATCTCTGGTGTGGAGGACAGGGTTGTTTTTGCCCAGCTAGGCTGCAGACTGTGTTTAGGCAGCTCCAGGAACACATCAGCACATGCACAGCTGCCTGCGGGGCAGGACGTGGGGCCTGGGTAGCCACTGCCCAGCTGAGAGCTGCAAATGCCCAGAGTTAACCACAGTTTACAATTTATGCCTTCAGTAGACTCCAGAGTTCCAAAGATAGTTACCTCAGACACATCCTGCCATTGCAGTTGTTGTTAGCTAGGGAGATGGCTTCCTGCTCTGCCGTGTTCCTAGAATGCTGCACGCAGGCAGCCTTTTATGTGGTGGTGGTGGTGGTGGTTTATGTTGCTGTCTTGTGCCTTTTCTCTAGTGCCTGAGATTGTGAGGGAGACCCAGGACCTAATTGAACAAGGGGCACTCCTGCAAGCGCACCGGAAGCTGATGGACCTGGAGTGCTCCCGGGACGGGCTGATGTACGAGCAGTACCGCATGGACAGTGGGAACACACGTGACATGACCCTCATCCATGGCTACTTTGGCAGCACGCAGGGGCTCTCTGATGAGCTGGCTAAGCAGCTGTGGATGGTGCTGCAGAGGTCACTGGTCACTGTCCGCCGTGACCCCACCTTGCTGGTCTCAGTTGTCAGGATCATTGAAAGGGAAGAGAAAATCGACAGGCGTATACTTGACCGGAAAAAGCAAACTGGCTTTGTTCCTCCTGGGAGGCCCAAGAATTGGAAAGAGAAAATGTTCACCATCTTGGAGAGGACTGTGACCACCAGAATTGAGGGGACACAGGCAGACACCAGGGAGTCTGACAAGATGTGGCTTGTCCGTCACCTGGAAATTATAAGGAAGTACGTCCTGGATGACCTCATTGTCGCCAAAAACCTGATGGTTCAGTGCTTTCCTCCCCACTATGAGATCTTTAAGAACCTCCTGAATATGTACCACCAAGCCCTGAGCACGCGGATGCAAGAGCTTGCATCGGAAGACTTGGAAGCCAATGAGATCGTGAGCCTCTTGACGTGGGTCTTAAACACATACACAAGGTAAAGCTAACCTGGCGCCTGTGTTGTCTCTTAGGTAGAAGCCGTGTGTGAGAGGGGTTGGCAGCCACTTGCCGGAGAGCCAACCACAGGGCGTCACTCTGGGCAGGTGCTCCGGGCCCACGGCCTTGGTTTCTGGCCAAGGGGCGTCTTCTTTCTGGTCCACCTGCTGGTGCCCAGCCTCTGGTGTTTGAACACTGTTGTGCTTGGGAGGGATCTCTGCTCTTGGCCTCCAGCCCCGTTGAGCTTGACAGGGTGCAGCTCCGGGCTGGGCCATTATCCTGTCTCACCGTGTGCTGACTTGTTTCCTTATGGTGACACCCCGAAGCAGGCGTGTTTTTGCCCATTTTACAGGTGAGGACACATGGTCCCAGGTGGGGCTGGGACTAGCACATGGCCACCCAGCTGGGGAGGAGACCACCACATCACCTCCCTGGCTTCCAGCAATCCTGGGTTTGGTTTCTCTTCACCAATATCCTATAGCAGTGAGTCTTTCAAAAATAAACAGTTACAAGTCTAGATAGTTCGAGAAAACTCTATCATCCTTTTTGTATCCTAGCACGAGGCTTTGTCACTTCACATAAGGGAACATGAACCACTCTGTGCATGGATTAATTGGAAGTAGTGTGGAAACGGTGCAGTGGTGGGGCATTCTGAAACTCTTTTTTTTTTGTTGTTTGAGACGGAGTCTGGCTCTGTCGCCCAGGCTGGAGTGCAGTGGCCGGATCTCAGCTCACTGCGAGCTCCACCTCCCGGGTTTACACCATTCTCCTGCCTCAGCCTCCCGAGTAGCTGGGACTACAGGCGCCGCCACCTCGCCCGGCTAGTTTTTTGTATTTTTTAGTAGAGACGGGGTTTCACCATGTTAGCCAGGATGGTCTCGATCTCCTGACCTCGTGATCCACCCGTCTCGGCCTCCCAAAGCGCTGGGATTACAGGCTTGAGCCACCGCGCCCGGCTCCTGAAATTCTTTAAGATTAGGTAGCTGCAGTGAAAATTTATTTCAATTTTCCATGGTTTCATAGATAGAAAATAATAATAAGTCATGTATTGGAATAATTCTTTTTATTTTTTTGCCTATCTTATCACTGCAGTGGAGAAATTGAATAAACCTCCTTTTTTTTTTTTTTTTTTAGCAGTGAGGCATTTTTTTTGGTGCTTTGTTTGTTTACTGGTATCTGCTTATAGAGAATTTGCATTTCAATACAGAAAGACAGAAGAGAAAGGAAGCACCCCCTGCAGAGAATGGTCACCGTGGCTCTCTGCACAACCGTGGCTCTCTGTGCAACCATGGCTCTCTGCAACTGTGGCTCTCTGTGCACAACTGTGGACTCACCTCCCCTGGCTCTGCCACTCATCCTCATGGCCGCCCATTCTGTAGCCTTGACCGTGCAGGCCTCCTGCTCCGTGCCTGGTGTGTCAGCAGCCCCATGAGGCAGGAGGCAGGGGATAATGTGCCCAGGTCACACAGCCAGTGAGTGGGAAGCTGAATTCCAATCCTGTCCCTGGGCCCTCCCAGGCCATGGCCACTAGACTAGGCCGTGCATGGGAAGCTGGATTCCAATCCCGTCCCTGGGCACTCCCTGGCTGTGGCCACTAGACTGGGCTGTGCGTGTGTGCACCTTGCACAGTTTGCGTCTTGATTTTGTCTTTCCACGTTGTGAGTGTTTTTCTGTCCTTGGGGAGTCTTGTGAGTTCCATCACCCCGGCCTTTCTCAGGGGAGGTTGAACATTCCCGCTGGAAACATTCACACACGGAATTGAAGTTCTTGGGCAAAAATAATCCAGATTAAATAAAAGTCTTTTAAAATGTGCAGAATTTTAGGAAGCACTTTTTTACTCAGGAAGCTCTTGGATTTCTTATAGTGGACTGGCCCTTAATCATTTTATTCAGTGTTACTCTGAGAAAGTATTTAGGGTACATAGCATGAGGCATGTTAGTTGAATTTTCTGAGTGGTCAAACCTTAAACTTAAAAAAATGTTTTAATTTTAATTTTTGTGGGTACATAGTAAGTATATCAAACCTTAGCCTTTAAAGAGCCCAACCTCATACACAGATAATAACTTTTTATTTATTTATTTATTTATTTGAGACGGATTCTCACTCTGTCGCCGAGGTTGGAGTGCGATGGCGTGATCTCGATTGACAGCAAGCTTCGCCTCCCGGGTTCATGCCATTCTCCTGCCTCAGCTTCCTGAGTAGCTGGGACTACAGGCGCATGCCAACACGCCCGGCTAATTTTTTTGTATTTTTAGTAGAGACGGGATTTCACCATGTTGGCCAGGATGGTCTTGATCTCCTGACCTCGTGATCTGCCCACCTTGGCCTCCCAAAGTGCTGGGATTACAGGCTTGAGCCACCGTGCCCAGCTGATAATAACTTATTAATGAAAACTTTTCCTGAAGTGTAGCACGTATTTCCTGTCTTCTGGGCAGTAGACTGGATGTAGTTTAGGCTGTTCTTGCAGATACATTTTTATCAGTAATGTCCTGTATTCTGCTTTCCAGTCATCAGCCTCTGCAGAGCACAGTGATGTTGACTGCAGTGGCTTGTTTCCAAAGTACAGCACAGCTGCCCCTCCATACCCAACAGGGAGGGATTCCAGGAGTCCCCTTGACTGTCAAAATCCTCTGGAGCCTAAGTCCCCTTTATAAAAGGGTATAGTGTTTGCATGTAACTTGTGTACATTCTCTTTCCTGCTCTAAATCATCTCTAGATTACTTATAAAATTAAATACAGTGTAAATGCTATGAAAATAGTTGTTGGACTATATTTTTTGAAATTTTTATTATTTTTTATTGTTGTTTTTCCCAAATATTTTCAGTCTGTGGTTGGTTGAGTCAGTGGACATGGCGCCCATGGCTGTGGGGGCCGGCTGTGCTTGTTGTTGTTTTGACTGAGTGCGTTTGTTTATTCAGTGCCTCCTGTTTGCCAGGCCCTGCCTTGGCTCTGGAAGTGCAGTGAATAGAACATGTCTTCCCCACAGGGAAGTCTCTTCCGCATTTGAGCCCTAGCACCTTATGAAGCTGGCACAGCAGGGTGAGGCTGGGGTTGGAGGGACTCACGTGGTCTCAGAGCCAGTGGGTTGACCCCACGGAGACCCCAAAGCCCTCGACCCCTGCCCTGCACTTTCCTCTGAGCCGTGGGCCGGCTGTGACCAGGAAGTCTCCAGGGTGGGTGGACGTTCATGTGTCAAGTGAAACAGCCTCGACACACTTGGATGTGCTCTTCTATGTCTGTCGTGGTTTGTCATTCACGTTCCTGGTTCTCCCATAGTACGGAGATGATGAGGAACACGGAGCTGGCCCCGGAAGTGGATGTCGGCACCCTGGAGCCATTGCTTTCTGCACACGTGGTCTCTGAGCTGCTTGACACGTACATGTCCACACTCACTGTGAGTAGGGCCGGCCTGCGTGCCATAGACCACCGTGCTGGTTGTACAAGTAATTGGGCTTGGCAGCAGGCAGGAGGCAGGGTGGGAAATGCCTTCGCATTGACTTCCTAGGGTACGTTGCTCAGTTGCCCAGGCTCTGCTTCCAGGCCCTGACAGGTCCGTTTGCTAGAAGAGGAGATCTGGGCCTGGATCCGAAGCTTGTCCTCTGCTGGAGATGTGAGCCTGTGCCATCCTCGGCAGGCTGGCCAGGGCCCAGGATGTCTGAACCGTGTGTGGCGGCACCTGCCAGCTCTCGGCTCTGAGTCCCAGGGTCAGGGGGGGTCAGTCAAGGACCAAAGGGCAAGTCCATTTGCAGCTTGGTGACCACCAGGTGGTCTCAGAGTGAGAGGAGGGGGTCAGCAGGGTCTGCTTCTTAGACAAGGGTGTGTCCACCTAGCAAGGCAGCATTGTGACCAGAAGCAGAGGTGTCCTCAGGAGCTGGGGAAGGAGTGCTGTCTTCTCTTGGGACATGAGCTGCTGTGGTTGCTGAGTCTGGGCAGAGGAACAGGCCTGACCGGACCTGACTGGACCTGGTCAGCCTCGTTCTCTGTACACCTGGGACTCAGCGGCCTTGTCCTCCAGCATGAGGTGCAGCCAAAAGGGCATCTAGTTTCTTCTCCCTCTTTATCTGTACAAAGGTTCCAGTTAAATCCCTGCAGGCTGCCGTGGGCCCTGCCTCCCATGGGGGTGGCTCCTGGGTCCCTGCTCTGGAGTCCTCATTTGGGAACGAGGACTCTGGTGCCGTGTGTCTGGTTTCTGGAGCTGTGCATGCAGCCGACCAGGTGATTGGCATGACCCTCAGGCACCTGCTCTTCTCTCTTCTCTTCTCTTCTCTTCTCTTCTCCATCATGCTGAACTTCCTTTAGTCAAACATCATCGCCTGGCTGCGGAAAGCACTGGAGACAGACAAGAAAGACTGGGTCAAAGATACAGAACCGGAAGCCGACCAGGATGGGTACTACCAGACCACACTCCCTGCCATCGTCTTCCAGGTATCAAATGCAGGGGATTGGCACAGTTCCATTTCCTAGTGGATAGTAGGACCTATAGGTTTTACAGAGTGACACAGATACCCGGGATCTTCATCCGCAGAGTGTGGTGAAAATATTGAGAGCCCTGCCTGGTGCATCTAAGTCCTCTGCTGTCTCTGTCTCTTTCTCTCTGAAGCTGCAGAAACCTGGGACGATACTTACCAAATAGTTTTGCCCAAGGTCACTTTACTTTTCTGACTGGGTCTTTATGGGTTTGGACTAGAGCCTAATTATATGTTATTTATGTGCGACTTTCAAATGTGAGTTTGTTTGGTTGATATCCAGGATTTGTCCTAAAAAATGGCACATGATTGAGTCTAAACAGGTAGATTTTGGGAGCGTCCATTATTTGTTTTGAGACGTAGTCTCACTCTGTCGCCCAGGCTGGAGTGCAGTAGCACACAGTCTTGGCTTACTGCAACCTCCACCTGGTGGGTCACGGCGTCCATTGGCTTTCAAAGTTGCTTTCCTGTTCGTTGGTTAAGGTTCTAAGTATTAGACTCACTTTCATTTTTACCACAGATTCACTTTCCAATGCCCGAGCCTCACTAGGTGTTAGACCCAGTGTGTTCTCACCACGGATTCACTTTCTAGTGTTTGACCACCCTGTGTCCTGTTTTTCCTGCTTTTTTTTCTTTTGGCTCATCATGTGTTTTAATTTGAGTGGCATTGCTGAGGGATGGAGCCCAGTTGTGTTAGAATCCTCACTTAGGACTCTGGTCAGGCAGGAGTGAGGGCTGGTGGGTGACATTTCTCTCTGAATGATACCGTTGGTTATTGACAGGCTAGTCCAAACCCATTCCTTTGTTTGGAAACGGATGCTGTGAGAAACTCTGTGAGGAGAGCCCAGTGAGCTCTGTCCCCTTGTCCTTCCTCTGCCTGTGTCAGCTGCTGGCAGGGCCTGGCACACCCCAGGTCCAGATTCTTAGGAACTCTGCATCATGACGGTCACAGGGCCAGGGAAGGTGAGTCAGCCGCCTGAGGGGCGCCATCCCTGGTGAGGCTTCACTCCACACATTAGAACTCCAGTCACGTAGTGTGAGGACTGACATGGCCCCCATGGGAGAAAGCAGTTTGCCAGGAATTAAGAAATAAGTCACTTGGTACTTTCCCAGGTGAGAAAGTTGTTTTTGTTTTTTTGTTTTTTGTTTTTAAAACTAACTTTGTTACTTTTCAGGTGGTTTCATTTTTTTTCTCTGAATTTGTACTATCCTAAATGCCACTTAGCAAACGCGGGTTTTATATAACAGCAAACCTGCACTCTTAGTACACTCCTGTAAGATTATACCAGAATTAATAAGTTCTCCGATTTTTAGATGTTTGAACAGAATCTTCAAGTTGCTGCTCAGATAAGTGAAGATTTGAAAACAAAGGTACTAGTTTTGTGTCTTCAGCAGATGAATTCTTTCCTAAGCAGGTATGTCTTTTTGCCAGTGTGCTAATGTACAAATTGAATGTTTTTAAAAATTAGAAGCAAACATTTTTTGATCCTACTATGCCTGTTATTAAAAAAAAATTAAGCCTATAGATTCCCCACGTGTCACTCCTGTGTTCTTCAAAAGCAAAGGGAGGGAGCGGAGCTTCTGGATCATCTTCCCCTTGAGTGGACCACATGCCTCCTTGGGCTCCCAGAGCCTATGGGTTGTGACGTCCTTAGTGATGCACCGGATGACACCAACTCCGTTGGAGTCAGGCTCCTCCCGTCGCCTGTTCTGAACTTCCTCGGGGTAGGGGTGGCGACTCCTGCTGCAGGGCCCACTTCGCAGTGGGGAGGGTGTCCTCGGCCGAGCTGGCCTTCCTCAGAAGGGTTCCAGGCAGCCATGACCTGGCACACCACCCTCCCCATGAGTTGTTGATGATAATTTTCAAACCTATACAGATGTGGAAAGAATGGTGTAAAAAACTGCTGTGTTCACCATCGTGCAGTCCAGAAGCCATCCCCTCCAAAGCCCCCTTGCCTAAACTGTTCTCCCCTGCCCATTCTGCTCTCTCTGCTGAAATACCTTGAGGCAAACCCCAGGCACTGTGGCATGGTATTTATGACCCTCTCTCAAGCCACTGCAGTGCCATCAAGTCAGAGACATGCACAGTGACTCCATGGGGTCATCCAATGCCAAGTCTGCATTTGGGTTTTATCTCAAATGTGTCTTTCGATAGTTGTGAATCAGATCGGACTGCATCACATGAGGGCTTAGGGTTCCTAGGCCTCTGGTAAGCAGAACAGCCCCTTCCCTCCTTAAGCTGCTGCTTGTAGATCTCTGTAGAGAGATGTCCCTCAGCCTCGTCCTCAGTCTGCCATCAGCTCCTGAGCCAGATACTGGCTCCGCAGGCTTGGATCCCACTTATTGGCAAGTGTGTCTTCCACGATGTGGCACATCAGGAGACGTGGCATCTGTAGGTCCTGTCCTGGTGGCTTAGATACTAAGCCACACTGCCCACTCAGAGTTCCCATCTGCCATCCATCGATGGGGGTCATGCCCAAGTCCCCACTGGCAACCCGTCAACAGGGGTCACAGCTGAGTCGCCACTGGCCCTCCATCCATAGAGGTCTTAGCCAAGTCCCCATTGGCCGTCTATCCACAGAGGTCATGGCCAAGTCCCTATTGGCCATTTGTCCATGGGGATCTTGGCCTGAGTTTGTTTCTTTGGAGGTCATTGTCATTAGGTTAGATTCTTCTATAAAGAGACCGTCCCTGATCACCCTCAGCTTTTTCATGACCTGAACCACACTTTGGACAGAAATGCTGACTTCTTTCCCTTTAATTGCCAGCTTTCAGTTTGCTCCTTTCTTAACATCTCTTAGAAATAGAAACAGTGTTTGTTGTACAATTCTTCCACTCCCATATGTGCTTGAGAATGCCCACAATAAGTTTAAAAATAGAGCAGGTCACTATCTCTGTGTGTTTTCTTGACGTTTCAAGTGTGTTTTTAATTGGATGACTTCAGGGACAGTTTCTGAAAGGGACATTTTACCTGACATTTGGTGATATTCTTAACACTATGAGTTTCTAGGTGAAGTGTACAGTAAATAAGATAAAGCTTTCCCAGTTCCTCATAATCAAATATGTAGTATATTTTTACAATCAGAATGCAGAACCATATTTTTTCTTTCTCCTTTTTTCAGTTATTTTTTACCAACTCCTCAAAATTTTTATATTTTTAAATTGTTTTTTAAGAGACAAGGTCGGCCGGGTGCGGCGGCTCATGCCTGTAATCCCAGCACTTTGGGAGGCCGAGGCGGGTGGATCACGAGGTCAGGAGTTTGAGACCAGCCTGGCCAATATGGTAAAACCCCGTCTCTACTAAAAATACAAAAATTAGGTGGGCGTGGTGGTACACACCTGTAGTCCCACCTGCTTGGGCAGCTGAGGCAGCAGAATCACTTGAACCCGGGAGGTGGAGGTTGCAGTGAGCCGAGGTCGCACCACTGCACTCCAGCCTGCGTTACAGAACAAGACTCCATCTCAAAAAAAAAAAAAAAAAAGAGATAAGGTCTCATTAGGTTGCCCATGCTGGAGTGCAGTGGTAGTTCACTGCAGCGCAGCCGGCAGCCTTTGACTCCTGGGCTCAAGTGGTCTTCCTGCCTCAGCCTCCTAATGAGCCATATTTTAAAGCCTGAAGTGAAGTTATTTTTTGATCCATTTAAGTGATCAGCCTCTCTGTCCTTCCATTAGTCTGGATCGTCTAAAGATTGTTTTATTTTTAGAGGCTCATCCGGTCAGATGTTAGTGAAGTGAAATATCAGGCCAGGCATGACGTCAGCATGGCGTTTGAAACAGCTCCATGTTGTCCTTAGTGCTGTTTGACCGAATCCTGTCTGTCCTCAGATATAAGGATGAAGCGCAGCTGTATAAAGAAGAGCACCTGAGGAATCGGCAGCACCCACACTGCTACGTTCAGTATATGATAGCCATCATCAACAACTGCCAGACCTTCAAGTGAGTGTGGCCAGATGCTGTGATGGGGGACCAGTGGAGGCTGGCCTGCCCAGCCGCTGTGTTGAACCTGAACCATTTCCTTGCAGAGAATCCATAGTCAGTTTAAAAAGAAAGTATTTAAAGAATGAAGTGGAAGAGGGCGTGTCTCTGAGCCAGCCCAGCATGGACGGGATTTTAGATGCCATCGCGAAGGAGGGCTGCAGCGGTTTGCTGGAGGAGGTCTTCCTGGACCTGGAGGTGGGCCTGGCTCTTTCCTTCTACCGTTTTCGGGGCCAAAGCATGGTGATTCCTGACTGCCCTCTGGGACACAGGCTGTGAACTGTACCGTGCGGACGCCATCCGGGGAGCCGGGCTGTGCACTTGCATTCAGGTCAAATCGCTCAGAGCGCCTCCATTTTCTGTGATGCTGCATGCTTCGTATGATGCAGGGTCCTTATGCACAATTCAGTAGGTTCACCCAGTAAGTATGAGAGATATCAGACAATTTAGTGGATTACAAAATAGAAACAGATATGTAGGGACCTGTCAAAAAGTCAAATTGAGAGTGCATACACACACACACACACATCATCTCCCATAGATCAGTTTCGCTTTTGAATATAGATACACAAAAATCATTAATAAAATGAATTTAATATTGTATCAAAGGCATAACCTACCATGAAACGTAGGGGATATTTCAGAAACATAAAGATGGTTTAACATTATTTAGATGTATTGGCAAAAGTCAGAATATATTTTAAAAATAAGACCATGTAGGCCAGGTGTGGTGGCTCACGCCTGTAATCCCAGCACTTTGGGAGGCCGACATGGGCAGATCACCTGAGGTTGGGAGTTTGAGACCAGCCTGACCACCATGGAGAAACCCCGTCTCTACTAAAAATACAAAATTAGCCGGGTGTGGTGGCGCATGCCTGTAATCCCAGCTACTTAGGAGGCTGAGGCAGGAGAATTGCTTGAACCCGGGAGGCGGAAGTTGTAGTGAGCCAAGATCGTGCCATTGCACTCTAGCCTGGGCAACGTGTGAAACTCCATCTCAAAACAAAACAAAACAAAACAAAAATAAGACCATGGCCATCTGGTGGTCCTGCTAGAAAGGTGTTCCTGGGATGAGGGGTGGGATTGGTTGCTGATTTCATCAGTGTCTGGTTGTGCAAGAGAACAGAAATGTGTGTGAAAGTGTCCCCAAAGAGGCAGACACTTGTAACTTTCGCAAAAATGACTTAGAAAGCAAGAAGGAAATATTTACATTTGAAATTATTTCAAAATTTAAAAAGAATATATAGAAAAATGGACGAAGGACATGAACGGCCACCTCACATTAAAAGCAACACCAGTGTCCTCACCATGAAAGTAGACGCCCAGTCTTATCCTCGAAGCAATGAATGCTCAACAGGACCTGCCTCTCAGTAGGCTGGCAGGAGCCGGAGATGCGGATGCCTCTCAGGCTTGTTGAGGGCGTGAGAGAAAGGGGCTGTTTGGATTCTGTGTGGGCCTGAACTGGATTGGGTTTTGGAGGGCAGCTTGGAAATACAGCCATTGTAGTTTTAATTTGTAACTTTTACTGGAGTTTTAATTTGTATACTTCTATTGGAGTTTTAATTTGTATATTTCTATTGGAGTTTTAATTTGTATACTTTTATTGGAGTTTTAATTTGTATACTTTTATTGGAGTTTTAATGTATATACTTTTTGACTGAAAAATTCAACTTTAAGGAATTTCATCAGTAGAATTATACAGATTCACTGTTGCATTATTGCAAAATGTGAAAAAAATTTAAATGTCCATCAATAGAGAATTGGGCAAATAAATACAATAAATATATGTAGCCATTAAAGGTAAAATGTATACATGCACAGATATTTCCATCTTTAACATGTCATTTTGTGAAGCTCATCACAGAAATTGTAGTATAAATCTCCTATACTTAAAGTACACATTTGCAGATTATATAATCGAATCTTTACCTGAGTGCGCATTGCTGTTGTAATTAGAAAAGCAGTGCCATGTAGCAAAGGCGCACGGAAGTGCCTCCCTCCCACACGCACTCAGCCCTTGTGGGACGTTGAGGTGATGATTTCTATGATCTGTTTCTGCTTTTCAGCAACATCTGAATGAATTGATGACGAAGAAGTGGCTGTTAGGATCAAACGCTGTAGACATTATCTGTGTCACTGTGGAAGACTATTTCAACGATTTTGCCAAAATTAAAAAGCCATATAAGAAGGTAAGAAGGTGGGACCTAGTCCCCTAGTCACCTTCACGGAGGGCTCACCTCTCACCCTGCTCAGAATTCAGCATCCAGTGAGCCCCTCCGTGAGTGAACGTTCACTCGTTGTCCTGTCAGCTCAAGGGAGGCAAGAGGCTCTGCGGACGCCGCCTCCCTGGGACGCGGCTCTGGTAAAAGTGGCGGGGGCCCTGTGGCGCCCACTCGAGGTGGAGGGAGCTGTGGTTCCCGGACAGGCCCGTGTGCCCCATCTTCTTGCCCCTCCACGCACCCCAGGGGTTTCTTTCCACTTCAGACCCTCCTTCCTGCAGGACCTAGGTTCCTCTTTCCTCCAAAATGTCTGCCACGTTTGGCAGATGCTGCCGTCGTTATCAAAGGCAGCAGCAGCCACTGACACCGGCCCGTCTGTGGACCGAGTGCTGCTGCGCAGCACGCGCCTCACCCACGTCTGTCCTGCTGGTGCAGGGCTCCGGGTCACGGTCACTGTTCCCCCCGCCCCGAGCCCCCGCTCCTTCTCTGCGGTGAGATTCCCAGAGCCGTGGCGAGCGAGGAGTGGGCCCAGCCTCCGGGGAGCCGCTGGCAGCCCCGACCTGGGTTTAAATGGAAGTGCTCGTGGCCGCCACAGCCGCGGAGCCTGCCGCTGACCGCGTGTTTCTCCCCAGAGGATGACGGCCGAGGCGCACCGGCGCGTGGTGGTGGAGTACCTGCGGGCCGTCATGCAGAAGCGCATCTCCTTCCGGAGCCCGGAGGAGCGCAAGGAGGGCGCGGAGAAGATGGTGAGGGAGGCGGAGCAGCTGCGCTTCCTGTTCCGGAAGCTGGCGTCCGTGAGTGTCGCGCCGTGCCGGGTGGGGAAAGCCCGCCGCCCCGCAGCCCCGTTCAGCCTCCGCCCCGGACTTTGAGCCGGTAGATGAGAGTGCGTGTGTGTGTCAGGCGGGGCCCTGGCTCCGGGTCCTGCCTGAGCTTGTGGTTGAACACGAATGACCGCGGAGGCAGGCGCGGCGCGGGCTCCCTGAGGGACGCTTCCGTCTGTCCCGTGCTTCGAGGCGCTGGCCGCCTCCCACTGACGCGCCCTCACCCAGACCCAGGCCGTTCCTGAGCTTTCAGAGTAGATCCTGAGGAGTCAGGGGCAGAGGGAGGTTCCCAGTCAGGAAGGGGCTCGGCCAGAATCCGGCCGCTCCCGGGGCGGGGGGACAGCCCAGGGCGGCTCCTCACATTCCTGCTGCCTTCCAGGGTTTCGGGGAAGACGTGGACGGATACTGTGACACCATCGTGGCTGTGGCCGAAGTGATCAAGCTGACAGACCCTTCTCTGCTCTACCTGGAAGTCTCCACTCTGGTCAGCAAGTATCCAGACATCAGGTAAGGGATGCACGTCTGCCTTAGAGTCCTTCCTTCCGTCGCAGGGTGGGTGAGGCTCCCGGTTGGCCAGGTTAACCCTGCAGCACGGCAGGGGTTCAGGTGCGGGGAGCAGAGCGGCTCCTGTGTTGCCTTCCGTCGGGCCTGGGCTGCGGTATGGGTGGGTGGAGCTCGCGGGGCACACCCGGGTGGGGACAGTGGGGGCAGGGGTAGGGTGGGGGCAGGGCTGTGACAGCTCTGCTGTGTCTGGTGGGGAAGATTTGGCCTGTGGAGTGGCCTGAGCGGGGCGAGTTTAGGAAGTTTCCTCTGTGCTCATGGTGGACTCAGTAGGGCCCAAGTGCCGCTCAGACCGGACACCCTCCGAGGACGTGATTACAGGGAGTCCCCAGTGCCAGGCTCAGGGAAGGGGACCCACGCACGTCCTCCCTCTGCCATGCTGGCTCCAGGCTCCAGGCCAGCCTTCGCAGCCCCCGTCTCAGGGCACCTGCCACTTCCCCAAGGGGCCACTTCCGTGGCTGCAGCTGTGCCACCTCTGTCCCATCATCTTGCCATTTCTGGTTAAACGTGGAAAACGGGGTCTTGAGCTCTCCACAGTCTCTGCTCTGGTTGGGCGGGAACAAAGATTTATAAAAGCAGTGTTGAAAAATCTTTCTGCAACTGGATTGAGAAAAGGCAGAGTAAGATGAAAACGCAGGCTTGTCTCCCGCTGAAAAGGGAGAGGCGCCGTTTGTCTGCAACTGTCCTCACCCCCTGCGTTCTGTGGGCTGGGGTGGTGAGGCAGTGAGCCCCTGGCAGCGTGGTGCATCATGGGGGTGCTAAGCGGGCATGGGCTGACGCCTCCCCATCCCCAGGGACGACCACATCGGTGCGCTGCTGGCTGTGCGTGGGGATGCCAGCCGTGACATGAAGCAGACCATCATGGAGACCCTGGAGCAGGGCCCGGCGCAGGCCAGCCCCAGCTATGTGCCCCTCTTCAAGGACATTGTGGTGCCCAGCCTGAACGTGGCCAAGCTGCTCAAGTAGCCTCCGCCGGCCTGCCCCGCACGCCCGTGCACAGCCCCAGTCCCTGCCCTCAGAAGCGCGGGAAAGCCGATTGCTCTCCTTGGCCACATGTGCTGCTTTCAGCTGCACGGCCTGTGCTTAGGCGCCAGCTTGATACACCGGGTATGCGTGGAGTGAGCGTCCCGAGGCCACGTGCAGAGGCCCCTCATTGTGCTCTCAAAGCCCTGTGTGCGCAGGGCTCTGCCACATAGCCTCTCTGGGGTGCTTGTTTGTTGCAGTGGTTGAAGGCGTGTGGGGCGCAGGGGACGTGCACCTCCGTGCCCCTCTCCTCCCTGGGCCTTCACTGCACCCCATCTGCTGTAAGTGCTCGAAACCCTGTCACCTAATTAAAGTTTCTCGGCTTCCTCAGAGAAATGAAAAGGCCACGCATTCTCTTTTCTGGTGAAGGTTTTCTGACTAGTGATCTAGCAGTGCCCAGGAACTGTGGTCAACCACAGTAAAAGTCTTCCCTCAGCTTCCCTCAGCTTGGAGGGCACCCTCCTGGTCTCCTCCTGTCTGACATCCCCAGACTTACTCCTTGGGTTCTTTGAGAGATGAGACACTCACCAGCTGCACCCAGGAAGCCCTGTCCCCACCCTTAGGTGAGCAGACCTCTGGCACCGGGTGGTGCCAGCCAAGTCAGCCGTACCTGGTAGACGAGCAATGGCAGGAGTGTAAATTTTAGTAAAAGTAAATATGAAAGTGAATATTTACTTGGAGTACATTTCAAGACCTGTGAATCATGCTTTTCCTGATACAGAATCCTTTAAATTCTTTTCCAAAATGTACCCATCTCTCTACAGCATCTGCCTTCAATGGTAGCATCATTTTGCACGTTAATCTTTAATTTTTTTCCAAAGCTAATCAAGGCATTACCCCAGAGGCCGGGCACAGTGGCTCATGCCTGTAATCCCAGCACTTTGGGAGGCCAAAGTGGGTGGATCATTTGAGATCAGGAGTTTGAGACCAGCCTGGCCAACATGGTGAAACCCCATCTCTACTAAAAATACAAAAATTGGCCAGGTGTGGTGGTGCATGCCTGTAATTCCAGCTGCTTGGGAGGCTGAGGCAGGAGAATTGCTTGAACCCTGGAGGCAGAGGTTGCAGTGAGCCAAGATTGCACTACTGCACTCCAGCCTGGGCGACGGAGCGAGACTTCGTCTCAAAGGAGTGGGGATATTACCCAGGATGAGCAGGGAGCCCTGGGTCCTGGTGTTCCGAGGGGCAGACTTCTGTGCTTTCTTAGTTTTCAGAAAAGTATTGATTCGGTTGAGTGAGTGAAAGGCATTGACCTTCATTCCTCCTCTTACCTGTGTATACAGCACCTTGTTCCCTCCATCCCTGTCTCAGAGCCCCAGGGACTCGCAGGTGGGAGAGGTGGGGGTGTCAGCGGGCCCATCTGTTCCTGTGAGGACCCCGCAAGTCTGGCCCATGGGCCCCGTGCAGTGCAGGTGGGTGTGAGGACCTCCCGCGGCTGCCCATGGGCCGCAGGTACTCCAGCCTGAGGACACGCTTTGTTAGCTCTCAAGACGTTTTTGAGATGGCAGAGTTGACATTTTACTTTTATTTCATCCTCACAAGATGTGAAAAATTCACAAATGAGACTTTTTCTTGAAATAATCAAAACTTAAGTGGAGTTAAGTAACCGAGGAGCAACAGGGACTCAGAAGGGGGTGCTCTTCCCAGAACATCCAACAGGCGTGCTGTTCCATGTGCCTCTTAACCCAGCTTCCCGCTCAGCAGCAGGCCTTGAGTGCACCTGGCATACAGTAAGTGCTCAGTAAATGCATATGAATTAATAAAATTCATAGTGTTCACAGTCATCAGAGTGCCCCTTATAAGAATGAAAAATGTGTTTATTTTCCCACTGAGAGGGAATTCTTGTTACTTCTGGAATGAGTCCCCAGGGCGAACAGTGGTGAGTGTGCAGCCCTCACTGATGTTTTGCTCTATTTCTATGTGAGGGTCACCACTGGGCCCCACGGTCACTAGTCACTGGTCACATCCACTTCAGGGGTGCCTGCAATAACAGTGAACCAAGCATTTGGCTACTCGGCCTCGGAGGCCACGCTGAAACCAGACAGCAAGCTCTGGGACCACTAATGTGCATGATTTGGGGGACAGGACGCCAGCCAGAATGTGCGGGAAGGTGTGGGGATGCCTCTGGCAGAGGCAGTGTTTGGTGCCTGGGCAGTGGGTGTCCACCCTGATACCAGGGGAAGGTTGTCTCCACCCCACGTACTACAGGACGCCGGGGTGAGGCCTGTGGCCACCTCCTAGTAGGAGAGCAGTGGCCACCCAAACGGAAGGCCAGTGCCTGCTGCCTGCGTGGGAGCGTCTGGTTGCAAAGTGGCCATCAGGGAAGTGGATGCACAGGTAGGGCTGGTGTGGCTGCAGCTCATCCCGGGGACCGTGGACCCACGCCCCTTCCACCGGGTGTGGCCTCCAGGCCACTTGGCCCTTGGTCGAAAGGGTGTCTTTCAAGTTAGGGCAGCTCCCTGATCTCCTCTTACCCAGGGGCAGGCGGGAGGTTTCAGTGAGGGATTCCCATGTCTCTTTAACGATGAGGCTCTGCTGCTGTTCATGGACTCAGCCCCCACGTCTGTCGACTGCAGTCTCAGCTGCTGTAAGGGCACCCCCAAAACGCGGGGCCCTGGCACATGGGGTTCCTTTTTGTCCAGAGGAAACTGGCAGGCATCGCCTGCCCACCTGGGGAATCCTGGTTGCCCCCAGCCCCCAGAAGGGTCAAGCCATCCAGGCTCTAGACTCTCAGCCCACCTCTCTCCAGCCCCAGGCCCACCTGCTCTAGGCCACTTGAGTGTCTCAGGCACCTCATCCTCCTGCTCAGGCCTGGGTGAGCATTGTTCCCACCACCTGAATCCCAGCCTATGCCTTAGCTACTCCCTCACACCCTCCCCAGGGGGCTCTGACATCTGTCTGCACCGGAGGGGCTGTGCTCAGATCCAGGGGTCGCTCCACAGCCATGTCCAGCGGCTTCCTCACACCAGCTAGGAAGGGCAGCAACAGCACATGCACACACACGCACACATGCACATGTGCATGCACACGGGCACACACACATGCACACGTCTCTGTCAGTGCTAATTTTTGGGCAAAGTGATGTCTGCCTACAGGAGACTGCTCCTTAAATTCTCGTAGGTAGATGATTTCTCATTTATAAACAAAGTTTGCACCCAAAATGCCTTGAAATGTTTTTAATAGAATTGGTCTAGCAATCATTCAGGATTTTGGTGATGGGCCCTCCCTGTCTGGACACTGCCAACCCACAGCTGAGGGGCATTTAAGGCACGTCATTTTGTGATTAGAATTACACAAAGTTTGATTAATATTACAGCTGCAAAATTAACATACACAGTTTTCACTCATTTAAAATATTTTGTTTTGATGAAATTCTTTGCTTTCACAATAATCAATAGTACACAGTATATTGACTCTGTAACAAAATTATTTCTGAGAAAATACAGAAGTGAGAAATAGTGATTTCCTCAATTTGTTTATAGTCTATTACAAAGTAGGCCAAAGTTCAGTATTAAATAAATAGATATCCTAATAAAAGTTTTTACAAGTTTTCCTAAGGAAATACATTCATAAGACTGTTTACCTTCTGTTTGACAGCAGTGACAGGAACGTGGGGATTCCCAATCATGACGAGTCCCTAGCACTCGGCTCCTGGCACCCACGGCCCAGGCGCGCTGCATCACCTGGTGGGGTGCAGCCTGGCTTTTGCGAGTGAGGTTTTCTCATTGGAACTCTGGTTCCATGTTTGTGCTTAGCCTGTGTGCGGTTCTCGTAAACACAGAACGCCTGCCTGCCCACCCCGGGTGTGAAGACTGACGGGTCAAGGAGGTGTTGGTGAGACTGTTTTGTTCACCATGTGGAGATCAGGTGGTGATTACCGCATCTTCTTTGCTGACTTTGGTAACTGGGTGTCCAGTGGGGAGCGACCGGGAGTGGCCAAGCTGTTGCCTGGACTCAGCTTCTGACTCTGCAGCCAGGAGTCAGATGCAGGCCCAAGGGTCCAGGGGAGCTGTTCAGCACCTGGAATCATGCACTGCGCTGTGGGCCACGCGACGCTTCTGGCTTGTTCTCCCAGGCACAGACAGGCACTTGGAAGGCAACTTTGCTCCTCTGGTCACCCGGAGACCTCCTAGCAGTGCAGATGGGACAAACTGGAGGCCTGTGGGAACACCCACTCATGCCCGGAAGGCCAGGCCCCAGCCTGCTCCGGTGAACGTCAGGATAGTGGCTGCAGCAGGAAACCAGGGCTGGCCTTGGATCTGTCCAGCAGAGTCACTGACCGGGCAGGCTTTGCTGCATAGAGGATGGCTGCATTTTGTGCTCAGAGTTGGTTGAAATGGCTGCGAAGTGTGGACAGTGACCACTGAATCCCAAAAGTCACTGCACTTGATCTGATCCAAATACCAGTGACTGCAGTTAGGGTAGAGAGCTTCTCCGAAGCAGGGGTCATGGAGGCTTTTGTGTGGCTGAGGCTTCCCTTTTTCACAACAGTAAGAAGCTATCAATGGGAAATTGTGGACTTTTCCCACCAGGGACTCAATGTGCAATATTCAGTCAATATAAAACTCTTAAGAACTCCTCCTTACTGGTGACTGTCAACACTGGATCTAAGACGTGAATAGTCTAATTTTCCTGAGCAAGGAGCTGCAAGTCTGGCTTTAGAAAAGCCCTTAGGAGTGTCCCACCTCCACCGCGCAAGCAGGTTTTAGGTGGGGTGGACCCTGTGGGACTTGCCCTCTGAGGGATGGATGGACTCAGAGCCCCTCCCCGGCTCAGCACCCGCGGCCTCCGCCCACTCAATGGACTGCGCCTCCCAGATCTCAGGCTGGATGATCTCCCTGCAGAGGACCAGAAGCTCTGTCCAAGGCCTCGGCCTGGGATGCTGGAAGGGGTGGGAAGGGTCCGGGGTCCAGGACAGGCCCAGGGGTCTCAGCAGGTCCTCCTTGGAGGGCCTGAGCCTGGTGAGGGGGACGGTGCCCTGGGCCCCTCCATGCCCCCTTGGTTCGCCCTGCTTTGTTAAGGGGGCCAGAGCAGCTGCTGGGCCGCACAGTCCACTTAAGGAACGGCCATGATTCTTGGAAAGCGCCGCCCGCCAGGCCACCTTTCACCCAGCCAGGGCCCCCGGGGCGACCTCCGGGCCAGGTGCGACAGGTCAGGCCGGAGACCTCGTCTGTGGGGGACGGGCAGTGCCCGCGGCCGCCACCCTGAGACCGGGCGCGGGCAGGACGGAACCTGGAGGGGGAACGAGGCAGGTGCTGGCTCTAGGAGTCTAAATCCCCAAGCGCTGAGTAGACGGAAGACGTTCCCGCCACTTTACCTGCAGCTCAAAGACCTGGCGAGGGCCTGGAAACGGCGCTCGGCCAGGGCCGCTTGCGGGGCCGGGCCTGCAGCCGCTGCAGGTCTGGCCCTGAGTCCTGGCGCTCGGAAGGTCCCTGAGTCGGTCCCCGGGGAGAGGTGCGGGGCTCGGGGGTGGGGGCCCGGAGCCTTGGGCTGGTTTCACGCAAATCCGTTTTGGGCGAGCCTCGGTTTCCCGGCAGCTGTGGGAAAGGGCGCGAGCGGCCAGCCACGGCGCGCGGGCCCTTCCCGCCCGCGGCTTCACAGCGGCGTCTCCTCCTGCTCCAGCGCGTGCGGCGGTGCGTGGCACGAGGGCGGCAGGGACGCCAGCTTCAGCAGGGCGGGGCGGCGGCGCGCGCGGGGCCGCTGGAACGAGCGCCGGCTGTGCACGCGGCGCGCCGCCGCCGAACGCGCGTGCGCACTCGGCAGTCCCCGGCGCTCCGGCCCCGGCCCCGGCCCCGCCCCCGCCCCGGGTGTAGGCCCCGCCCCCGGCTCGCGCTCCTGCGGCTCTGCGGGCTCGGCCGCGGCGCTCTCGGGGTTCTGCGCGGGCGCGGGCGCGGGCGCGGGCGGGACGGGGCTCGGGGCGCGCGGCCGCTGTAACCGCGCGGGGATCAGGGGCTTCTCCGGGGCGGCGGCGGCCGCGGCTGGCGGCCCGTGGCGCGGGGACGAGCGTCCGGTCAGCGGCGTGTCGGAGCCGGTGTCACCTGCGGGAGAGCAGGGCGTGAGCGGCGCGCGGAGCCCGGGCGCTAGGGCGGGAGGGGCGTCTCCGGGCGGTTTAGCTCTCCCCAAGCCCGGCGGCTCTCGCCTCCCCTCCCGCCGCGCCCCCGGGGCTCGGCGTCCGCCGGGGCCTCCTCCCAGGACCCGGTTCGCAGGACAGAGGCGGAAGCAGCAACAGCGAAGCCCCACCCTGGCCCAACCACGTCCCACCGCCGGGGGTCCCGGGACAGCGGCCTTCTCCGTGCAGGAAGGTCCCGCCCCTGGCCCTGCAGCGCGGGAGGTCAAGGTCCCCAAGGGGGAAACCTGCTTCCTCCATCTCAAACCGCCCTGGCGTTCCCCGGGTGCCTCCCAGGCCCCCAGAGGGAGCTCACAAAGCCCAGACCCTGTGGCGCGCCCTGAGCTGGAGGCAGAGCCCGGGTCTGCGGGGCCGGCCCTCCCTGTATCCCTGTGGGAGGATAGGGGACCCGGGGCGTCTGGCTCCCCCTAGCCCTGCTCTCAGCTCCGTGGGAGCGCAGGAGTTGGACTCGCGGACTAGCTTTCGGAGCCACCTAAAGGAAATCACAGGCGGCCCTGGGGCTCTCAGCTCCGTGGGAGCAGCAGAGACGCCAGGGTCTGTCCGGGCTCCTGAGGGAGGTGCGGCCAGCAGGGCGCTAGAGGAGGAAGAGGGGCTGCTGGAGAGAGAGAGAGCCAGGTTCAGGTCCAGGGAGGAGGAGAGAGAGAGCGCGAGGCGGAGACCTGGAGGGAGAGGAGCTGCGGAGAGAGGGGTTAGGTGGCAGGAGGCCCGGGAGCGTTACATGTGTGTGGACTCGGGGAGGGCGGCGGGGGGCCGCTCCTCGGGGCCGTCTGCCTGCAGGAAGGAGTCCACCGACTTGCTGCTGAGGCGGAAGGGCGTCAGGCGGCGGAAGGTGCTGGGAGAGTGGGGAATCTGCGTGCGGGCCCTCTGCGAGGGGACCACCGTCTCCCCGGGAGACAGCCAGGGCGGCAGCCTGGCCAGGAGGCTGCGGTCCAGGGCCTCATCCGGAGAAAACACAGGGTTGTCAATTCCTAGGAGAGAGGGCAGCGGCTGGTCAGCCTCCTGGGAGCCCTGGGGCGGCAGGGGAGGCCTCGCGGGGGCCGTCACCTGCTGCGTGCCCTGGAAGGTTAAGGTCACCTGGAATAGGATCACCGGGAAGGTTAGGGTCACGTGCCTTTCAGGTTGCAGGCCCTTGCCCCTCATCCATGACCCCACACACCACAGGCAGCACAGGCGAGGTCTCCCTTCCCTCAAGACACACCCCGTCTGCTCCCTGCCCGGCCCACGTCTCCTGGGACAGCAGCCTCCGAGTTGGTTGAGGAGGCACTCGAGGTGCCAGGCAGGGCCCTTGAGAACCCACAGGAGACCCCCCCCCGCCAGGTCCCAGTGCCCCTGGTCCAATGACTGAGCTCCCTCCTGGGGCAGCAGGAGCTGCCCCTCCCTGGGCCACGACGCCTGTGCCCTGTCCCCACCTGCAGGGGAGTCAGATGCTGTGTCCTTGGTGACACTGGCCAGGAATTCGATTCCCCCGCTCATCTCCTCATCATAGTTGGGGTGCTCCTCGGTGTCTGAAAGTTCCAAGTCTGGAGGAGACAGGCTGGGTTGAGGACTGGGGTCACTAGGGGGCTGTCCTCACAGCCGGTCAGCCGTGTCCATCAGCTCTGTGCCCAGAGGTGCAGGGGGTCGGGACCCACAGAGAGAAGGGCTAAACCGCAGGGCTGGGGGAGGGCAAGGAGGGACCCTACTTGGAGGGCAGCACCCCTGGAACCCCATCCTGGGTGGGTCTGCAGCTGGGGCCCTGACCGTGCCTCCCTGCCTGGGTGGCTGGAGGGTCCTGAGAGGGGAGGGCCCCGAGAGGGGAGGGCTGGGGCTGGGAGGTGGTGGCTCCCAGCATTTCCCGCAGGGCCCCCAGCGCACCTTTCTCTTTGATGGTGAAATTCTGCACAGGGTTCTCCATGGGCAGCTTCCCATTGGGGATGCTGCTGTTTCTCTGTGGGGCAAACGTGAAGCTGCTCACAGACCTCAACACAGCCACACCCGGCCCGGACTGCCCCCGCTCCAGGCCCCAGCCCCGTCGAGCCTCCTGGTGACCCGGCCTCACCCGCTTCTGGGCACGCTCCCGCTTGTACATCTTGGCTGCCTTCTTGTTCTGGTTGAGCCCCAGCTTGGTCGACTTGAAGGACTCCAGGCGCTTCCGCATGGTCCTGTGGAAGATTTCCCGGTCCTGCTTCTCGTCCTCCGTGGGCGTGAGCTCGTGCCGGCTGTACAGATGCTTGTACTGCAGGGTTGGGCACGGAGGTCACAGCTGTGCCCAGCACCAGACACTCCCGCCCTCCTGCCGCAGGGGCTGAGCACGGATCCCCCATGGTCCTGGGAGGGGACGAGGAGGCCACCCTACAGGGGTCCCTGTGGGCGTGTCCAGCCCCCAGCCTGCGGGGCCCACCTCCTGCCGCGGCTTGTACAGGTACTGCTGCAGCGTGTGGTGCGTGACCATGTCCTCTGCGTCCCGGATGCTCCGCCGCCGCTGCTCCAGAGACTGCATGTCCAGGCAGACGGCGCTGACATTCTCTCTCCTGCATGGGGACCAGCGCTGAGCCACACAGGCTCCCTCAGGGTGGGGTCTCCTGTGCACCCCTCGCCTTCCCAAGGCGGGCATCCGGCTGGGGTACGGGGACACCTGGCCACCTGGCCAGCCCCTTCTCCCCTCGGGGCTTAGGCTGACTCCCCACGAGGCCTTCCCGGCCTCCTTTCTGAGGTGGATCCCCCTCCTCACTGGTCCCCCTCCAGAGCCCTGGCTGTGAGACTTGGGGACCCTGGCATCTGCACACCTGGCAGAGTGGACCTCCCATGAGAACTGGCCGTGAGCTGTGGAGCCCATGGCTGGAGGGGCAGTAGGGGTGGCATGGGGACCAGGACAGGCTGCTCCTGGCCGGGGGCAAACACGTCAGGCCCGGACCCCAATCCGCTGCTGCCCCTCCCTTTCACCTTGCATCCAGCACTAAGGGAGTCTGGCCACCGCATAACACAGGGGAGCGCTTGCTGAAGGGGACACCCAGCCCCTCTTTCTGCACCCCTCCACTCCCCCATGCCACCCCCAGGCCAGGAGCCACCCCAGCCCCGCCTGTGACTCTCAGCTGGGTTCTTCCCCAGGGAAGCTGCAGGACCGCGGCCACGTACAGGAGGTACGAGACAGAGGCCTCCACGGTGGATGATCGTGGCGTGAAGTCCACGTTGACCATGTTGTCGGTGCTGGGGGAGCGGATGAAGGCCAGGGACCCACGGCGCTCTCCCTATGGTCAGGAAGCAGCCCGGTCAGTGGCCTGAGCAGCCAAGCCCTAGGTCCCGGACCTGCGGCAGCTGCTGCTGTTGTGTGCCCTGGAGGGAAGCGGGGAAGTGCCCAGAGCTCGGGGCCCAGGGAAGGCCTTGAGACCTGAGCCCCAGGTTTTCCCCTCACAGCTGCAGAGGGGAGGAGATGCCAAAACCACGAGATCAGATTTTGAGCCTCTGTCCATCTGTCTGAGGCCACAGCCAGACTGCTGCCTGAACTGGGCAGAGGTAATGCTTGTGGGAGGACACAGTGGTCTGAGTGTGAAGGGGTAAAGCTGCCTAGGACTTGGGGGGTGTCTGGGGAAACTGTCGATATGCGGAATCAGAAGTGGCCCCTGTCCCTGCCAGAGGCCCTAAAACCCCATTGGCCTCATGTCCAGAAATGAATCAGGTCGAGGGAATGGAGCAGAGCCCGATGGGGCACAGAAGCCGCACAGCTGAGTGCCAGAGGACGGGAGTGGGGCTGCCTGTGTGTCCTCAGATCCCACCCGCCTAATGGCAGGCCTGGAGAGTGTGAGGCTGTGGAGGAGTGCAGGGCAGGGTGGGCTTGTGGCTGGAGTCAGGGTCTCCAGGGCCAGCGGGGGCACAGGTGTGGAGGGAACGTCAGCTCACTGCACTCAGACCTTGCCAGGTGGGCACCCATGCCGCCTTGCAGCGGCGAGACGCTCCCAGGAGAGCCCCCGGGGTCGGGCGGGGGCCGCTGCTCCCACTGAACATGTGGCCCCCACTTCACTGCCCACTCTGGGGGGCTCTGAGGGTCATTGTTCTAAGGGCCCTCTGCCTGCTCTTTTGCTTCTAAATCCAGCGTCTTCTGTATGACCTTTGTCCCTCTGTCCCTCTCCTGCCACCCCGTGAAGACAGCCGTGAGGGCCGGGGGAGCCACAGTGCCAGCTGCCACTCTGGGCAGGCACAGGCGAGGGCTGGAGCACCTGGGCACATGGGGTCTTTGGAGGAGCTGTTCCCCACACCACTTCCCCTGCCCCTGCCGAGCCCCACACTGTGGGGCCACCCCAGGTGTGGAGACTCAGGCTACTGAGTGACCAGGAGGCACCCACGGGCTCCCCACATGCAGCTGAGCCCAGGGTCGTGGTCATGGGTCATGGGTCATGGGTCAAGGATGGTGGCTGGTGGGGTTGGGGGAGAGGTTCAAGGCCCGCCTACTGACCAGGGTATCTGAACTTTCTCTCGCTTCCCGGGCCTGTGGTTTGGGGGTTTGTGTGGAGCCTGGTCCAGGGGCCCTCCTTCCTGATCTGCACTGGCTAGCCCTCCTGACAGCCCCAGGCCCCCATGCCCTCTGCCAGGAGGCGCCTTGCCACGCCCCAGTCATGGGTGGCACATCTGGGGTGAATGCACGTCAGTAGAGGCAGAATCATTCTATCTGAATGAATGGAGTTTCCCGGCCCCCGCCAGCCCTCTGTGTGAGGGTCTGCAGGGTTTGGCAGGACAGGCCTTTCCCTCTCACGAGAGCACCGACCCCGACCAGCTGCTGGACGAGGGCACCAAAGCTCACTAGGGAGGACTCTGTCCTTAGGGAGGAGCCGCA